AGTAAAATTTAAGAAAATAAGCAACATATGTAGGTCTGAATATTATTATTTATTTTATTGTACTTATTAAAAGATTCATTGTAGCAAGAGTTTTATGGATAAACAAATGTATACTTTACTTTTTTTGGTGTTGAAAAATGTGATGGTATATGAATCTCTAATAAATGACTGAAATTTACATAAAGCCTATATAATATAAATTAAATATTTTCTTAATACAAATATAGTGCGTATAAGCTAATCGTAGTAATTTGAACTTATTTTTCTTACAAAGGTTCCACTCTCATAATAATTAACCAACTTTTTAAAAATGTATTAATTGTAACGGAAATTTAAAAAAAAGATATCGTTTAAATCATACTGGCAACGTATTTTATTGTTAAATGTGTTGTCAGTTTCGATGTCCAGGTCCCAGCTGAAAGCATAATATTTAACATGAGAGACACCTAATTTCCGTCGCTGATGACTGACCGACGATCATGACTGGATGTTTCACCAACAGGAACACTTCTTTATCTTATTTCTAGACCATAGACTCTAGACCATTCGTAGAGTTTTAAAACAAAAAATAAGAATGTTGTAATTTAATTCACAAAAGTTATAATAATATATGTATATTGCACACTGATAAAATGTATAAACGTTAATAATTATATTTAGTTTTTGGTTTATAACATGTGTTTTACCCGGGGTTTTCTCCATTTTACCCCGAGTATATTAGGAACCATGGCTGTGTATAAGAGAACATCTGTAACTATTCGTATAGTTGGTACATACATGGTTGCTAAGTAGTGTTGTAGGTCCTTGGTTTCGACGACTCCCTACTTACTTTTAAATCATTTAAGTAACAAACAGAAAGATAAAAATTCTTTGAGCCTTTTAAGAATATAAGGTTCGTTATAAAAAATCACTGTGATTCCTACAATTAGACAAAAAACAGTGTAATATTTTAATTTATCGTAATTGAGAAATATAACAAAAATAAGAAAATTCGAAGGTTATGTTTTTAAAATGTTTGAATTTCTATATAAAATAGCGAAATTTAAATTATAAAGAAAATCACGTTAGTACATAATTTAAATGGGACAGAATTAAATTTGCAATATTTGCATTAAAAAGTAGTTAGTTCCAGCTGTCGCAGTCCGAGAGGAGCGCATTCCAGTTATTATCGTTCTCGAATCATAAAAAGAATTAATGAAATTCCTTTTGAGAATTATGAATTTATCTTTATCTTTAATTTCAGATTTAAACACGAAAAATCAATTATTGTTCATAAATATTTCTATGTATTAGAAATAAATGCAAATTTATACGTATTTGGGCTGTGATAATAACTTACAATAGAGAGTTTTACCGTAAAATAAAACTTCCCTTTTATTTTATTATAAACATTCGTAATCCATTTAAATGAAACTAATATTTTCGGATTTTACTTCGCGTTTTATTTTAGAAACTACATACTCCCGACGTTTCGGCTGTATTAGTATTAGTATGTAGTTTCTAAAATAAAACGCGAAGTAAAATCCGAAAATATTAGTTTCATTTAAATGTGTACTCGCGAAAATCTTAGATCTCATTATTCGTAATCCATCTTGAGCCATTCAACGCTCTTTCTGCCTTTTCTCAACAAGTATCGTCTACCTCCTCGTATAGGTGGCGTCACTTTCTTCGTATTATCAATTATATAAAACACTGAACTCTCGATTATTCTTCATCGTGACCTGGTGTAGGAAGGTTTTACCTGCATCCTGGATATTGATGTAAAAATAATAGGTAACTTTTATTTTAATATAAACTCTCTATTATTTGTTTCGTATCAACATCCAGATTCCATCTTGAGGGATGTGTTTGTCGTCTCCTGGTGATAAAGAAACAAATGAATTAAAATTATCTTTTGTATGAATAATATTGGAGAGTTCATTGTTTTATATAATTGATACTGTGAAGAAAGTGGCGTCACCTACAGAGAGGTAGACGGTATTTACTGGCGAAAAGGCGAAAAATGGTTCCCGAATATTGATTCGAAACAAATAATATACTAATTTACTTAACACAATCCCTCTCTGTCCTCACACGTGTATTTTATCTTGATTTCAGTATTACAAAGATAAAGAAACAAAATAGGTCCGTCATTGTTGGATAAGTATACAAGAAATGGGAATAAGGGAGTTCCTTTGCTCTCTATTAAAGAGTACTTAAATATATTATCTCAGTTATTATATTATATTATCTCCGGGAGTTGTAATCACAAAGCAATCCAATCACTGCTATATTAAAATAAAATATTACATTTCTTCATTCTAATCCAGTAAGATGTAATTTATATAGATGTCTATCCCCTTCATTTGTAGGATGGGATAAAAATCTTTTTGATTTTAGTATAAAGGTGTAACAAAAAGGAAAACCCTTTTGTCTTTTTGCATAATATTCATATAACAATTGGAGTTCACTTTTTATGTTACATTTTTAAATATATAGCAGCTAAACTATTTCTATGTGCAATCTAATTGATAAGTTGTTCTACTTCTTTGGTTATAAAAAGATTTTTAAGTTTAACAAAACATTGTAATGAATTTGGTCTCTTTGTAGATAATAAAATGTTAATAATACTTTAATTTAAACCACAGTCTTATTGTGTTATTTTTTTGGCTAACTTTTTTTTCAGCTAACGATGAGTATCTTGAAATATGAAAGATCTAACTATTCTTTATGATTCAATTCTCTTGTTATTTCAATAAAACTAAAAGAATAATCAGTTCTGTTCCGTTCGTTTAACATTTTTTTTCGCACATGTATTCAGTTATTAATTACACGAAATTTTTCTTTTATAGGTACACAATGTGACGCTAACTGTCATTATAACGATTAAGCCCTCATTGATATCTTAAGTTGAAAGTCAGTGGTGGCTCAGTGGTTAAAGGGCCCGCCTCTCGTCGCCGAGGGCGCGGGTTCGATCCTGGCCCGGGCAAGTACCAATGTGATTTTTCCGAATCATATGTCCTTTCTAAGAGTATTTAGACATCACTGATTATTGTTGATTCCCAAAAAAGGGTTGATGTAAGGCAGGTGGCCGGTCGTAAAAACAAATAGCCAAAAACTTTTCACAACATGTAAGGCAGACCCTGGCTATAGCTGGGAAATTGCCAGATAGAAGTGATATCTTAAGTTATACATATCACTCAATCTTCTTTAAAGATTGGGTTAGAATAAAGTAGCGTTTATAAATAAAAAGATGCTCCATTGTTGACAACAATATGATCGGAACAAAACGCCACAAACTCTATAGTAACAAAATTATTTTTGTGTTACTGTATTCCAGATAAATACAATATTCCTGAATTATAAATACTTAAAAGTTTTAATATATTATCCATTTTTATAAAATTTCAGTTACTGAATACTCTTTAAAGAAACATTCAAATATTTATCTTTCTGATTTTAGGTTTAAACGTAGAAAAATATTTTTTTAAGCTTTAAAATACATAGTTTATTGTAAGTGCAAAAGGTTGCAATAAATTTTAATATTTAAAGATCTGAATTTTCTAAATAGTTTTGATATATTTTAATCTCTTGATTCATTAATATTCAGCTTTCTGATGACCGAAGTTTCAGACAAGATTATTTTATCCTTCAATCTCATTGTGACATGAAAATATTGAATATAAAATTTAACAATTATTTTATTTTATTTCACTATTTAATATTCTAACAAATAAATATGTTACTTATCTACTTTTAACATGTAGAAGATATATTCCAGTACATACAAATTAATATTTTAAAGTATATGTACATATATATAATAATCAGTAGACATAAATTATGAAATCTTATCTAAAAAAATATTATTTTAGATATGAAAATAAAAAATATATGAAAAAAAAAACAATACAAGAATCGTGTTCTTTATCATCATAATTTGATTAAAGATCTTTGCTTTTTCGAAGTAGAAAAAAAGTAAAACTAAAGTTTTCAAACTCTTTTTTTGGCACAAAATAAATGAAATTTAAGTTTAATAAAGTTTCAAAATAAAAGTAACTTACTGAAGTGTTAAATTTTCCTTCAATTTATATAAATAAAGATTAAAAATAAGAGGTTCTTAAATATAAACATGTGTTTTAGCTTCCCAAAATTATATTTATATTACGCACCAAGTTAAATTCAACACGCGGCACATTAAAGTATCATTTTGTCCTTAACTATTCAACTGTCATTAAAGTATCTTACTGTATATATAAAATGCAGTAACTGAAAGGTGTTTTAGTTAGACATAATACTAAAATGTAGAAATAAGTAACAGTTTACTGAATGTTGTCTTCTTATAAACTAGATAAAATTAATTTAAAAAAAAACATAAGAATTTATCAGTATGACTTGATAAATAAATATTATTTTTATTAAACTCATTAAATCTTCGTCTAATTTTTCTGTATATGCTAATATACTAGAAGTAAAATATTATATAAGAAATGTATACATATTGTAATTAGCATTTAAATTCAGTTATATAACTGGTAAGAAAATGGAAATGGAAATGGAAATGCTTTAAGAAACTAAATCAGACTACACAATTCCGTGGAATACTTTGAGACACTTTAACTCCTTTATATATTTTTGTGTTTCTATTCGCAACTCAAATTCTAAAAAGAAACGAATACTAATTATTTCAATGTTTATTTTTCAATTCCACTCACAATCTATGTATAAGATCTGAACATTAAAAGGAAATACAATTAAGAAAATCTGTGGCTTCAATTTCTCAATTTCTGTGTGTTTCTCAATTTTATTAAAAAATAATCTGCAACCATGATTCGGCTACTCTTCAGCAAACATGAAATCGTTGTGTACAAAATTTTTTTTGATCCTTTTTAAAAAACTAAACGCTATCCGTTCTTTTTTGTTAAAAACAAAAATGAATGGTTTTTGAAGTCATTTTTCCATACACGAATGTTATACATATACATAAAATTCACGGTGAATTCCCTTTTTTATTTTTATCATTATGGTTTTTTTTTCTCTTCAAATCCAGTTAACTTTCCGATGTAGGGAAGCATATCTGTGAATACTAGTAGATTCTCTTTCCCTTTTTTCAAACTGAAGCTACCAACTCCGTAGACCGTATTCGTATCCCCAAACTCAAAGAGCGGCGCTCCAGATGGCAGACCGTATAAGTACTGATCATCCAACATACATATAAAGCGACCCCACTCTCGCGGGAACCACTCGTCACAATTCGCGAGTAATTCTGACGAGGAACTGAGTTCCAGAATATAACTATTGTTGAGGTGTTCTTTATCAAGATATCCGAAACCAGCGAAAAGCCAATTAACTGGTATCCAATTGGACGTTTCATTTACAAGTTTCGATGGAAATGGTTCTCTTCCTGACCCTCCCAAAAATTTATTTCCTCCGGGGATCCCTTTAATTGCTACAGATGTAGTAAGAAGAGCAATGTCGTGAATACTAGTATGTTTAGTGCCTTGAACTCCCATAGGAATCCAACGTTTCTTTCTAAAGGAGTGGTTATTCTCTATTTTGGTGACACCAATGGCTTTTGTCTTATTGTAAGCACCATTAATAACGTGTACTTCAACTGCGCTGATATTTTTTCCTACATCATTGAAAGGATTTGCGGATGTTAATACAATCGTTTTAGATATAAAAACACCGACACAAGCAGGTTTCTTTCCAATGGATATAGCGACTATACAATCGTACCTTGTGTCTGATTCTGGCCACTCGTACGCTATAAGTTCATTGATCATGATTAGGAAGAATATTATTCGCCTAAAAATAAAAATAGAATAAATAATAGAAAAGTAAAAAAAAATACTTCTCTAAAAATTATGTGCCCATGTGGTTACAGTAAGATTTTTTGTTATTATATTTAAATTTCCAATTGATATACTCTGAAACTACAATATTTGTCTTTAATTTTTCTCTCGTTTTATTGCTCCCAAGTACTTACATATTTGAAGTGAAATTTCTAGTTGCTAAAACAAGTTCACATATATTATAATTGATGTGGACAGAATCACTACACTGACTTTTGTGACTAAAGTGAAATAAATCATGTTCTTCAAACGGACGTGGCAGAAGTGGAAATATTTAATAAACAGTATACATATTAAAAGGAAATAACAGTTGAAAAAATGAAATATTAACAACATGTTATCTTGTATCAAACTCGCAAGGAATGTTGAATAGAGAAATGTATAACATAAAACAGCAATATACAATCCATTAGGTTGTCATTTAATCACCGTTTTATTACTGATTGTAGACTAGGGATTATCTTAGAGTTATTGTTAAATGCCATACAATACTTGCCCTCTTTCATGAGTGTTTTACAGGTACCTAATTTTATTAATTGACTAAACCATAAGAGCAAATTATCTGAGGAACTAAGCATTTAAACTCTTTTTCTTTTTCTCATTTTTAATTCAAGGGAACCAATTCCATTAAAGTAATATTCATAATACATAATGAAAAAACCTGCTTCAGTTTAGTAACGTGACAAACTTTATTTAGTGTTATCTTTATGGCATATAAATTTTGCTGAAAGTTGCTTAACTAAAATAAATTTATACCATCGCTAACCCGAACAAATTTTAATCAGCAATGTTAAGTTCTTCAATAGCTCGATTTTCTAAACATAACTAAAAGTTGACTTTACATTACTACTCTATGTATAATTACTTCTCGCATGAAACTTTTAATGAACTCTCAGTTCCTTTACGAATCGGACAACGAAAATATTGAAAAGTATATTTTGTTTAAGGTAGTTACTTATTGGGTTTCCAACCACCTCCACTTTTAATTACAATACACGATCAACATAAATATGTAGTAGTAATAGTACAAACTCTAATTTGTAACTTCTAGTTTTTAAATATTATTATAATGCATTATAATTTCTTCAACTAGCTAGCTGGCTCTTGGATCACCTACTTATTAATACGTTATAATAATTGGCCATTTATATCAATAACTAGATGACCCGGCGGACTTCGTACCGCTCTATAACCAAGAAATATCTGTTACCTTTTTATCACAATGAAGTTAATTTTTTAACTAAGTACAGCTGACTTGAAAGACAATGGTCTGTCTTCTTCTACTACCTGGCAATTTCCCAACTTTAGCCACAGGGTCAGCGTACATGATTTTTACGACCGGCCCGCCTAGTCTGCCTGACATTTACCCCCTTTGACTTAACTTACTTTATTATTATTATTATTAGATATTCAAATACATACATTAATTTTGTTTCATTAAATCATTAATATTATTAATATTGTAATTCATAAACACTTCTTATCCCTTCGACATTATAAGTTTAATTAAATTAGTTACATATTACCTCTTTTATAATATTATCAGAAAAATTGTTCATCAAGAAACAATTTTGAATAGACAGTTTTTTGAATGCGGAATGTCTAAAAACATAACTTTTTTAAAGTGACGTAAAACCGTTTACATTTCCTTTTCTAAAGTTAAAACTTTTCTCACATTTTCCTTTACAGATACCTCACTTTGCAAACGCAGTTTCAAATCGCTAGAGAGTTGCTTTGTTTTGATGTCTGACTAATTGGTCTGTCGCGATTTCAAGAAGATTTTTAATAATTTCATGAACTTTTGACTTGAAAAATTACAGTGTTACTTAAAAAATATCATTACTATAACAATTCATGATTATTGTAGACATTCATATAATGAAATTTTATTCGAATTTCGTGTTTATATTCAATGTTCCTTGAAGTAAAAGGAAATAAAATCGTTGTCACAATGGGCAATAAGTATATATAAAAAATACATATATATATCCTATATATTTAGAAAAAAGGAAAGTTTTTCTACGGTCTCTGAATTGCAAACCTCAGGACAAATTGTTTAGGACCAGACTTATGATAAGATGATGACATAGTTGCTGTAAAGAATAACATAAGATTGAAGTTATCAATTCATTTTAAACACGATCAACAAAGTTTAAATGAAGCCTAAATAGATCCTTTGATATCAGTATAAAAGTAATACGTGTATATAAATCTTAATATCTTCTAAACACGTGTGGTAAAACAAAATAGAACTATTGCCATTTACAAAAATCAAAAATAGGTGACAATGTGACGGCTAGGAATCTGAAATATCACAACGTGAGAGGGCTTTAAGACGTCGAATTTTGCTAAAGGAGCCCTAAAGATGGGTTCGAAAGTAGTGAATCACTTTTACTAAAACGGGACATGACAAAATGTTATTTAGAATTAGATGGTAATATAAGAATTTATAAATGAATATTCTCGGAATTAGGATAGGAAGGGAAGGCTAAAAATAGTTCAAGTTCTAAAACAGGTTGTAAGCCGAAAGTAATGTATGAAAATCTGTCATCTTCACTAATTTACTTTGGAAGATTTTCAAAAAAAATAATTCTGCTTTTATGTTTAGAAAATAAACGAGTATATTTTAATTCATATCCTCCAACCAATTAATTAATTCATTTTAAGACTAGTACGGAACTTTAAAATGTATTGTTACGTAAGTAATGTTATCATTTCACATTCTTTAGTCTAAACTGTTTTGTATTAACGAACATTCTGCAAACATTTTACGGTACGATGGACACAAATAACAAGACTACGGCTCGCCGCAGTTTATTTTCCGATAGCTTTTAGAATAAAGCTTAGTTTTTGTTGCCTATCTAGATTATACGTTTTGTTATAACAATAAAGTACTGCTTTTTTTAAATTACAATAAAATAATTAAATCACATTTCATTTATATTCAGTTATTCAATTCTATTCACTCTACTATTTAAAATTGTAACCTTATATAAACGTTGTGATAAATCTTAAAAGGAATGAACTTAGTGCTATATTATCACAATTAAAGTTTTAAGTCCGAAAATTAAGTACACGCGTTTTGCTGGTATACACACAAACTATTACTAGTGATTAGGAGTCATGAAAATGAACCAAGAACAGGAAGAGAAATAACTGCTAAAGATTGAAGAAAAGTTTTGATTAGACAGAATATTGATTGTCTGAAGACGAAGCAGTTGCAGTAGGAGCATACATAGTAAGCATCCTCTCAAACAAGATGGACCACTTACTAAGCACGTAGCCTTCTTAATAATGGTTACATATTTCAAAATATTCTTCCCGATACAGCTCTGGCATCATTTATTGGCACTTGTTTACTTAAACAATCACCTAAAATGACTAATTGAAACAATAAAACGTAGTGGCATAGTTTGCTCAGAATCAAATGGACCTAATAGTCTTCTCACTAAAATTACCAGACTTCAGCCCAATTGAACATACATTTAGTCCTATTCCATTAGGAACAAAAATATAAGAGAACTTAATGCCAAAAAAGGTAGCTGACGTCGTCAAATCACAATCTTGCAAACTACTCCTAAATTGTTTTTTTTTCATTTTCTTCAATAGATCAATCGAAAATTGGTATTGGTAATAAGGATCACTTAACTGTAGAACACCTTTAAGATGATATCTTATTAATAGTTTATATCAGTGTACAAAATGAAACATTAAAAGTTAAGAAATATTCTTATTAAAAATACTTCCAGAAGAAAAAAATTACATGAAAGTTTCGAAGAGACTGTCTTTTACATTTATTATAAATTTTACAAAGTTATTTTAGTTACTAGTTTTTTTAGTTTAGTTATTTAGTTTTAAAAAGCTTTTAGTGTCACGACTCAACAACACATTTTATAATATAAATAATGTAAATAGTTACACGAATTATAATTAGAACCACAATTTGGAACAATTAGTAAATTAAAAAAAAGATGCATTAATATACATACACAATAGTTGATAAACCAATTAGTAATAAAATAAAAAACAACTTCTTTGTGATATCAAGCTGTCATTTAAATACGAGTATGTAGCAAAGTGAGGCACTCGCGAAGGAGTATGTGAGAAAGGTTTTACTTCGGGAAAGGAAATGTAAACATTTTTCGACATTTTGAACGGCGTCACTTTGTGAGTGACTCCGTAAACAAAGAAACTATCTATCCTAATGTATTGTTTTATGTATTTGAACACTACTTTTAGGTAGGATTTCATCCAAGTAAATGTTTAAAAAGAGGTAATTCACTTTAATATAAAAATAATGGTTAACCAACAAAATTTCTTGTCTGAGTTGTTATAATAGAACCAGTAGTTACTAGTGGTAGATTTTCATTAAATAACCTAAGCCTCTCTTTCTTATAACTATTATGTCCAATTGATTTATTCTCTTCCTTTTATTTCTTTAAATTGACAAAATAAAATAAGATTAAATTAAATAAGAATAATTTAATTTTTATGCCTTGACTGTTGCTATTAACTCTTTTAACTTCCATAGCGTCCCAAAGAGGTTAGATGGTCCGATGGATACCTACAATGAAAGAGGCTCCTTTAAAAACTACACTTTATGGGCCTGGTGTGATAAGCCTCCGTCGTTAAAGTGAAGATGGAATTGAAAGATGTAATTGGTTTTATATGCTTCAATTTATCAACGTCTTTATCACATAACTTTAGTTGGTTCAAGATCAAGATTTTGTAGATCTTTCCGAAAGAGTTAAGCAGGCTAATCGGCCGACAGTTACTCCGTAAATTCCATCGCGCACCCCGTTCGGTATACTTATTACAATGGATAGTTTCTATTGGTTGGAAACACGCATCCATTCAATAGCAAGTACAAAGTGAGGATCAGTAGGTAAACGACTAGCATCGCAAGTAGTTGCAGGGTACTTATCTGTCCCAGACAGCATGTCGAAAAGGAGCGAAAACTGTTCTTCGATGCCTTTTGAAACTACGTAGCTTTCTGTGGTTTTCGTCGGTCAGCGACCTATATTAATTTTAAAAACGACTTTGAAGAATAAGTCGAATTTTATAAATAGAAAAATACTATATTAGAACTGTAATACATACTTATATTGTATACTTACAAAAGGTATAAATTTTATCTTTATATTTGTAAATTTTATTTATGGAAAAGATATAAGAAGAATCCATTTTATTACAATATAATAAAATGATCTTCATTTAACCATTCCATACTAAAAATTATTAAAGTAAATTGAATATGGACATAAGTGTAGCAATCCACATTACGTCTCATCTTTGTGGACTCTAAGGCACAATAATAAAAATCGTTTATCATATGTCAAATAGACATATGTCATTATGAAATGAAAATTGGAAAAGCTACTATAATAATCCTTGTTTACAAAAGTACGTGCTTGATTAAATTCTTAGAGAATTGATACAAAAATGAGATGGAGTGAAGCAGTAACCGTGGAATTTGTCAAAATGTATTTAAAACACGAATGCCTATGGAATCCCAACCACCCAGGTTACAAAATTAAATACCAAAGAGAAAAAGCTTACTTCGATATTTGTTCGGAATTTAAGACGTCCACAATGAAAACACTCACAGTTCCTGAGGTTAAAATGAAAATAAAAAACTTAAGGACAACGTATGTACAACAGGTACAAAAAATCTTGCAGAAATCGGGTCCAAACTCGATTTATGAACCTTCATTGGTTTGGTTTAATGAGATGGACCGTTGCTTAAAACATATACGAACTAATCGTCATCTGTCGTCTCTAAGTGTGAGTATTTAGTATCATTATCTCTGTTGTATAAAGACTTTACATTTAACAATTACATACTTTACAGACTCAAGAAACTCCTGATGTTGATTCATCATGCCAAATATGGGTAGATCAAGGCACACAACAAGATAACGAAGAAATGAATCCTGATCCCCTTTCAAACTCTGAAGATGATGATTTTGAATCTTCAAAGACAGAGGAATCAACTCCAATCAAAAAGGAAAGATTGTCACAACCAAGCAAGAAAATAAAGAAAAAGAAGTACAAACATAGAAACCTAAATCAAACTCAAGATTATTCTAAAAATTTAAGTTTTGAGTCAACAAAAGAGGATGAATTTGATATATACGGCAAGTACATTGCTTCACAGCTAAGAAAAATGGACTTACACAAAGCATTGAGGCTTCAACTTGAAATACAGAGTTTAGTTAGTGAAGCTAGATTATCGGAAATAACTAGTAATTAACTGTAAGAGGAGATATATTATGTTATATCGTTGATGAAGTACCAATACCTCCTAAGTGTGGAGAATCTAATTTTACACCAGAAGAAAAAACTGTAAAATATATACAAATTAATGAATTCTGCCACTTAGTAGATATTTTCACATAGCTCAAGAAACTAGAGTGAAGTCAATCTATGCAAATATGAGTTTTTTGTCTATTGTTATAAAAAAGTACTTTTGGACTAAATTGTCAGTTAGGAGGTATTGGTACTTCATCGACGATATGTATAATAAGTATTATTATAAGTATTGTAACAGCTTTTACCAAAGAATCATAAAATAACCAGTGCAATTTAAAATTGTTTATATTTTTAATTAAGGATTATATGTTTATAATTTAATGATATAATTAATATTTAAACAAAAAATTTATTACAATTCATTTTTGTATTTTTCTTGTTTTATTTTTAAATATACTATGTACAATGTATCATAGAAGAACAATTTTATTCTTATACACAGAAGCTAAATCAGACTGCAAAAAAGCACAAATTAATTAATGGGATTGATAGGGAAAATAAATGAAAATTTATTGCATTATTAACTAAAAGAAGTATGTCAACTTTAATATTTTCTTAATTACTAATTTAAAATAAATAATATCACTTATATTTAAAATGTTAATACCTTCCTATTTTTCATAAGCATTTCAGAACTAATTGGAAATAATGTTTAGTGAACATTTTAATGGTAAACTGATGATAGAACCGTCAATGTCACTGCTAACTGACTGCATACTCATTAGTTATTGTTTTGAAATACGTTTTTGCAATAGTAAATAACAAAAATATAGTTGTAAATATAACTATACAGTTAAATTATTATGAGATTTACCGAAAGCGAAACCTTTCAATTTGTGAAATTATATTTAAGTTACGATAATTTATGGAACACAAGCCATGAAGACTATAAGATTAAAGATAAACGCATGAAGGCGTATTGTAATATTACTTCTGAGTTTATGTCTATAACAGGTATATTACTTAATGAACATGAATTAAAGACCAAAATTAAGAACTTAAGATCGACTTATGTTCAAGAATTGAGTAAAATAAAGCAGCGATCTATCGGCGAATATGAGTACAAACCTACTATAAAATGGTTTGAGTACTGGGATTCATGTTTTAGAAAGAGTCAGGACCACCGATGTAGTGACGCTGGTTACGAGGTAATCAATTAGTTTAATATTGTTTACATTTAAATTTAAAATACGATATACTTATTAGTTATTCCAATACACCTAAGTCTGTTTACACGGTCTTTTTGTACACGGTTTGAAAATTGAATATTTTTAATTTTTTTACACGATTTTATTCCATTTAGCACGATTTGAAATTTTATGTACTTAAATTTTTTTTGTCAAATTTAATTTTTGCGAAGTATGTTCATATCACAAAAAAGTATTTATGAAAGAAAAAAGTCTGAAACCATAACAGAGTTCATTTTTCAAAATGTAGATGCCGAACGAGCAAGAGAAAGTCCAGTTCAAAATTATTCCAGCAATGATAGTGAATGTATATGCGTTCGAAGCAAGCGAATGCGAATAACTGATGACGACAGCAATTAAATTTATGTTGTTGTATTTATGATTATCACTTATTCTATTTTATTTTATTTTTTACCTTAAAAATTGAATAACCTATTCTTTTCATTCACAACATAGTTTTTTAGTTCCTGAACTTGCCATACATTTAATTTATATTACTTTTAAGATTAGAGTGCATATCTTTTTTATCATTAATTACTATGCTTGTGAAAATAAGCATTATATATTTGATTTAATATAATAAACATGAATTCTTGTTCTTAAAAATTCTTGTTTTTCACTAATTTTAATAGGTTTTAGAGATTAGGAAAAAATCACCCATTTTTGTATAAGATCAATGTCTTTTTTTACACAGTTTTTTTTTAACACAGCTTCTTCTGGAACCAATCTACCATGTAAAAACAGACTTAGGTGTACATTGTATTTTTTTTTACTGTTTATGCTTGTAAATAAAAATTTTGCCATTAAAACAATAAATATTCCACTAAACATATAATATTAATATTTAAGGAATCAGAGTTAGAGCAAGAACAAAAACAAAACTTGTGGCTTCCTGAAGATTCAGAGATTCTATGTGGTGTACCAGATCCATTTGAAGCTCAGACTAATGATAACTTGGAGATTATTCTAAAATCAGAACCCGGAGTCCAGCCTAAAATAAATAGAACACTGAAATACAAAATGAAAAGAAAAAAGCTGAGGCATCGAATTTCTAGCAAGGAGGTCTATGATCAAACACTCAAGAATAGCTTTGAAAGCCTGGATACTTGTAAAGAAGATGAATTTGATATATACGGCAAATATATTGCATCACAGTTGAGAACAATGGATTTAAAACGAGCTTTAAGATTACAGTTTGAAATACAGTCCCTAGTGAGTGGAGCTCGCCTCTCAGATCTATCAAGTTGATTCTTGTAATAAAAATCACCAGTCACAAATTAATTACTACTTTTAAGTTTTTAATAATTAAAAGAGTTTTATTACTTACAAAATAATTAGGATGGTTGTAAATAAGAAATTACCATCAGAATATTTTCTTGTGTAAAGGAGATTAGTTATTAGTTTTAAAATTCCACATTCATTAGGGGGCGTTCATAAAATACGTGAGAAAATAAGAGGGGAGGGGATCGCGTCAAATCTCATCTACTCTAACTTTGGGGGGGGAGTCTCGGCAAATATCCTATTTTTTTTTTTAATGAAACAAAAAAAAATTATACTATATTAGTCCATTAAATCCAGATTGTCCATATAAGATTTAATTGTTATACGATGAAGATCATTCCCTAATTCCTTAAAAAAAAAATGTATATACTTCAACATTTACTGACTATCAAGCCACAATCCCCCATGAAAAAAAAATCTCACTGAGATTAGGGGATGGGGGGAGGGGTTTGAATAAAATCTCACCAAGTCGGGGGGAGGGTAAGGAATTTCAAAAAAACACCTCACCTAATTTATGAACGACCTTTTACATATATGATAAATTATATTCTATTATAATTAAGCCAATTTATTATTGTTATTTTTTATATAAAATTTTTGTTCATTGATGTTTTTCAGCAAGTGAAATATAAAGAAAAAAAACATATAAATATATTTAATATAATTATAGGATAAATAAACATTAAAACAATGTATAAGTGTCCGATTCTTTTATTGCTGTAACAGCATCCGTTTATATTACAATCATGATCACTTACGTTTCACTAATGAAAACTCAGTTCCTCTCGTACAAATCCTGCTAGTGTAAGGAATTTGTTCATGAAAAAATATTTCTTGCACTGACGGCTACAAGCTGTCAGTTTACAGTAATTTTTAACTATTAAGTACAATCAAGTCCGCAATTATTTGTTTCACATTAAGAAAACTATGTAGACTCAAAGGGCAGTATGCATTTGGATGTTACAAAAAAAAAATATTAAAAAAATCTTAAATAAAGGCCTGCACACAGTGCAAAAACCATCGCATGTGAACCGACTTTAAGACTAGAGTAGATACAATCTCAAACGAACGCTCACAATAAAACATGTGCGTTCTGTGATCTTATTAAATGTTATACAATTGGAAACACAAACGCATTTAAATATTATTCAGAGCACAGACTATTAAGATCTATATACTCCAATAAGACTCAAAAGAGATCAAACAGAGTCAGTAATATCTTATTGTTATACACTCAACTCATGTGGAAAACAAAACTTTCAAACACATGTTCTTTATTGGAAGCAGAGGGAAGCTCGTTAAAAAGCATTAAAAAAAATACAACCAGAATAATTAAAGCTTTAACATGAACGAGTAAAAAAAAAACAACTTAACTATAAACATTCAACTGACTGGTTATCAATTATATTAAAAAAACACTTGTTTCTTAAATAAATTTTACGTTCAATTTTGTATACAGACATCGAAATTAAAATACTTATAATAAGCTAACACTAACCAGATCGTTTTGGTTTTAAATAATAAAAATAAAACAAAAAAAATAAACAAAAAAAAACAATCGTCAAACCGTTGCTCCGTCAATAATTATGCTGTTTATTTTCGAAAGCATTTTTAACCGACATTCGTTATTATGCAATTTCGTGGGACACAATTTTCTCACAACGTGATTTATCAAACTTTAAATATTTTGTCCAACGTTAAATAAGCAAAATTTTTTTAAAACGTGTCAACTCGTGTCATGGTTCACAACTGCCATCCCGTTTGTCAATAAATGTTGTATAGTTTAATAGAATCTTCAAACGACCTAAATAACGCAGCCCCAATCTTTAACTAAGCTCGATTACATAACCAGAAAACATAGAAACATTACTAGACGCAATTCTCCAACCTACCTTTCCAATGCCATATTAGTACAACAAACAAAAATATTAAAATTTGTCTCTGGCAACATTTATCCATAGACAATATAGGGACGACACGCATATGACGGACTAAAACGTCAATAATATAAGAGAATGAAATCTCATTTCTTTTGTACAACATATCACATAAATTTAAAAAAGAACACTTCTCTAGACAAGTTTTCGAGTTCTGATTGATAAAATTACCCGATTGATTATGCTTTTGTAAAAAATACATTTCCTCTGTCAACGTTATAAAGTTCCGATAAAGCTTTTGTCGATTTAGACTTAACGTATTGACTAGCACACAAATAAAAACTAACATTCGGCCAATAAGAGATGCGGAGTGCGAATAAGGTATACAAAAATAGTATATTTACGCCGAATCACTTACGAAGAAACTAATAAAACTGAATAATTTTATCAATCATGTTAACATATACATTTAACCGGTGTTTTTACGGTTAAGTAACATTAATATTCAATTCGAAGAAGAAAATAAATTGAGATCAGTGAAACGTAAATACAAAAACCGGCTTTTGTATAAGTTCTAACGTGTTAATGGAGAGAGCTATAGGGATAGGATTGTTACGAGTCGGTTAATAGAAAATAATCTCCATCCATTTACACAGAAAATTTTAAGGTACATGACGTATTTGTCATTTGATTTAATACAAGGTCGTTGACCTCAGTATTTTTTATACAAGACTTCTTGAGCGTTTATCATCGTTAGTTTAAGCATCCGAACAGAGTTGTTTAGGGGTGTACACTGTAGCGTTTGGGTCCAACGGTGACCCGTCCGGGAGTCGAAGCTTGGACACGCTGTTTGTCAATGGAGTCATGAATTCTGTTGGCATCACTGCTAACATTTGAGCTTTCAGTTCTTCTATTTCTTTTTCTTGTCTCGTTATTAGACCTGTGAATTGAATTAATATTAAGTAGTATTTAATACAACTCAATATAAAAAGAAGACTGTTTGGATTCATCTTGTGATTTCTGGGAGGACTTTTTAACAGGGGGAAGATACTTAATTCAAATGAAAGACTATAATTTTACCAAATCATAGGCAGAGTAAGCAGAGCATATTTGAATCATGGTGTGCACGACACTGACTGTAGGCCTAAAGGTTACGGTGACATTAATGAATAAATTTTAAGTTATAGTGGTTTTTCAAAAGGGAGCGTTCAAGTATTAGGTAACGAAATCTAGGGGGGGGGGGGGGGGGGGTCTCGTAAACGTTACGATGCGTTACAGGGGCGGGAGGTGGTGTCTCTTAAAAACGTAACGTAGCATTGTTTCTAAAAAAAATAAATTAAAACACCCAAAACTGGCAACCCTTTTCATATACCTTACATTTTTAATTTGTTCTCGCAAATTTGCAAACCTCTTAATATTTTACGGGGAATACTAGGATTTAGGAGAATTGCATTGTGCGTCATTTAATGTTGCTTCCGTGGTCAATATTCGTTAGTGTTCATCCATGAGTTCATAGTGTTCATACTGTAATTTCTTCAAAAGAGGGAGATTTATATCAGTGATCTTGTTTCCTTTAGTAGATTAAAACTATACCAAACGTAATAGTGACTTTTTACGACTTTCTATGACTTTTTACGACTTTAGAATGAAATTGATCACTTGAGTGCTACTTAGCGTTTTGAGAAGGGAGGAGGGGTTACAGTAAAACGTTACGTTGCGTTACAAGGGGGGGAAGGGGGTCAAAAATCTTCGAAAATTGCGTTACGTAATACTTGAACGTTCCCAAAGGTAAAGAAATTGAGGTGCTAAATATCATTTAATCTCAAAGTGAGCTATAGACAGAAGAAGTTTTAGAATAAGTAGATTATAACCTTCTTGTATCCGCATGTGTCTCTTAGCGTCTCCTAATGCTGATAGCAGATCCAGTTTGACCCGCGTCTCAGCGGACAGACTCCTCTCGAGGTGCGCGGCTCGTTCCTGCAGGGCGTTGACTGCGGACAGGGCGTCTTCAGCTCGGGACCTCTCCACGGCCTCCCGGGCCTCCCACGCCTCTAACGTACGGACCTACATGAAGAGATACATAGATTAATTAATATGAGTGGATAAGGATTATACATATTATACACAGTTGTCTCCCTTTTTTAAAACTATTTCTTATTCTTCATTTAAGATTAAGGGATAATTTAACAACTTTATGATACTAACTTATTTCACAGTTGTTTGTCATTCATAACAACTATAATATCGTTTACGAAGATTACATTATGTCAACGCAAATTAATACATTTTTTTCGATAAGTTTTTCTTATCTCAATCATGAAATTAATGATATAAATCAAACATTTTGAACGTTGTTGGGAATTATGACTTTGACGTGACAGAACAACGTGTCCGTTAATACATATATTATATTAACTGAGTTCGAGTTTCAATTCAATTCTAAAAAAATGGCAATACAAGAATTTTTTTAAATATAAGTAGGAAATAGTATTAGTGTAAACATGAAAATTTATGAGGATGTATCGATATCGCTCTCTCACATACCAACACAAAACGGATTATAATGAAACTTTACCATAGTGTAAATAAGCTATAGGCTATTCATTTCGAGTTTATCGTACTTCCGTCAGAAACAATAGATATCGGTGTCTGTCTGTTATCATACATAGTTTCACTAAAAATAGCTTAGAATCAGGAGATGGACGTAGGACGTTTAATTCTGTTCGATCGAAAAAGAACAAAAAATACTTTATAAATTCAAATATCTGGTTAATTATAGCCACTAGGGCGGAATAGATTTCGCCCGGCCATCTTTACATATATCACTAATTCCTAAATTTAAGCGAAGTTGTGGGCAAAAACTAGAAGTAGATAGTTTTCCTAGCCCCCCCCTCCCCTACCTGGTCCGTAGCCCCCGCTAGTTCTCTCTGCAGCTGGGAGCTCCTCTCTAAGGCCCGCTGAAGCTCCCTCCTCAGCGCGAGGCTCTCGGCCTCCGCCGCCGAACGCCGCGTCCTGCACCACTCGCTGTCACACTCACCGCTGAGGACATTGGAATATTATAATTAGTAAAATTAATATTTTTGAATGTACTGCGAGTGTTTTATTGTTTTAACAATATCCTCCTGACGTTTTAGATACTTTGAAGCAAGCTTGATCATGGGCAAACGAAATTAAAGTAATATTTTCGTATCCGAAATCTGAGGTATATTTTTTAATACACGCGAAAATCTTTGATATGATCTAGGACACGTATTTTATAAAAAGGTATAAATTGTCCAATTGCACTATTGGTACCATTTGTATGAGATTTTTTTTTCAATAATATATAATGTAAAGTTACATATTATATGTAAATATTGCAAATAAAATAATAAGAATTCAACAAATTATGGTATGGAAATACTACAGCGTTTAATCGCTTTACCAACTAGGATATTGTGATATGAATCAATTCAGTAAATTGATCATTCTCTTTATTTAAATGTCATATCACGACGGAGGTGCCATCTGTTAGGTTTTATGAAAATCCTTATCAATGTTACCATTAAAGCAAATAAAAAATGACATCTAGCTTTGCTGCATAAAAACCTACATTAAAAAATATGAAGCGAATTGAAAACATATTTTTTTCTGCATCATGTATTTGATTTTGTGAACATTGCTCTTATGTTAAAATCATATTTGCATGTATTAAACCATTAGAATATTAGGTAAAAGTTAAATAACTCTCCCATACATATACAGTGGTAGCTGTAATCCGACATGATCTATTATTTATTATTGAATACATATTTTGTATTTGCTAATGCATGATTGAACAAGTTACAACTTGTACGCACCATCACTATTGTGCTCGACGCATAGGGTATTTGTTTTGATTCTGATTGCTTAGTTGGAATTTGAATTTGTACTTCAGAGTATAAGTACATAATATGTATTTATAATATGTAAATAATCTTATCATTGAATCTGTAATTTGTCGGATTACAAGGTACTCTTTTGTAATATATCCGGACTACATGGGGTCTTGGGCAGTACTCTATAACCCAACGAATTGGATAGTTCGACGCTGCCCTGCAAAATGTTTTCGGACTACCGGGGGTCCGCTGTACATATATAGTAATAACTAATAAGTATATGAAATAGATCTCTTGTACCTAGGAGTCCTAGAGGCCTGTTGTTGTGCTTTCAGCTGGTTCTCGGCTGCGGTCCGCGCGCGTCTCTCCTCGCTCAGACGACGCTCCAGAGCCAGACGCTCGGAACTACGCCATCTGGCCTCTCTAGAAATATAGAATGTACAGGTGAGTATATAATTAGTTTTTATTAATATCTAAAAAGCTCTGTATTAATATATTTCGAATACATGTCATGTATTTCCATACCTATATTTAGAAACCTATTGATAACGCCTATACCAGAAAGCTATCTAAATGTACATTTACCCACATACACTAGAGCCAAACCCCAAATGTGTTTTTTGATACAATTCAACCCCAACAAATAAATTATTGTATACTATACACATCGAATTACATAAAAATATTCTTAGTATGAATTTATTTATTTATTTATAGGTTCGCTAGCGATTTTTACACAAATGAATAATTAAATAAAGTTACATATAAAATTAAAAAACATGCATAAATTGTGTAAAACCAATTAAAAGCAAACACTGCATGCATTTATTCTTGTTAAGTAGAATCAAGCTCAATGATATAATTAAACCATCTAGCATACAAGTTCTTTCCCGGAATTGCCTGTATTCTAAGTTAACATATCTAATGATCCTCACTTGTTATCCTGTGCATGTGCTAGAGCCCTACGAGCCTCCGCCTCGCCCGCGCGCGCCGCTGTCAGCTCGGCTCGAACACGACGAAGCTCAGTACTCAACGAACGGGCTCGCTATAAATATATTATAACCATATATTAAACGACATACAAAAATGAGGTTTTGTATGTTTATGTTTACTTGTTTTATATTCCATTACATTGTCAATCTCATCTCTACTAATATTATAAATGCGAAAGTAACTCCCTCTGTCTGTCTGTTACGCTTTCACGCCTAAACCACTGAACTGATTTTAAAGAAATTTTGTACAGAGAGTTGATCTTGAGAAAGAACATAGGATAGTTTTTATCCCAGACTTTTGAAAAGTTCTCTTGGAAACGCGATATAACCGAACTCCACACGGGCGAAGCTGCGGGCGGAAAGCTATTTGTCAATAAACATTTGGTTTGAATGTAATCAAAATTTGCTTTAGTAAGCAACAAGTCAATGTTTTCCCAAGCAGAGGTTTTGTATTACTACAAAACAATATATACAGTAATTTGGACTATTATAACAATATATACCTGTTCCTGATCTCTCTGTTCCCGTTCCCTATCTCTTAACTCCTTCTCTCTTTCTTCTCTCCTTTCTCTTTCTCTCTCTCTTTCCCGTTCTCTTTCTCTTTCGCGTTCCCTTTCTCTTTCCTTTTCTCTCTCCCTTTCTCTTTCTTTATGACTATTTATTTCCTTATTATTTTTTATACTTTCTTTTGTACTTTCGACTTCTTTCTCTTTAAATAATATCTCTTTTGCTGTAAAACATTAACAATTAAACAATAGTTTCTACCAATTTATTAATAAAATATATTCTGATAAATAATATTTAAGCTCTAACATGACTTATAACAATTTAGATTGGACAATTAATCTATTTTCACTTCAATAAACATTCAATTTATATGTACGCTATTTTTCATTTCGTAGACAATCTACATACAAAATCAATCATATTGGCATAAAAAGAAAATAAGTATATTTTTGTTATCAAATTAATATGCATCAGTGACCTGTATACAGGGTGACTGGTGAATTACTATCGATATTTGAGGACGTGATATTTGACGATCATATATGACAAAATAAAAATTAATATAACATAAGTATTAATAAACTTCTAAGTAAAGTTAACCAAAAGTTATGTAATTAATTACGCATCGTATGAACACCCTACAGATTAGGTATACACACACACACATACGTGCGCGGCGGCGTGTTGTTGTATCAGCACGCCGCCGCACGCGTTCACACTTGGAACACTCTGAACGTGTCAACACTTTATTTATTTATACGGAAATTTGGTCAAAAATTAAGTACCTATTTTTTTTACATAATTCGAATGAGAATCATGTACCGAGTATGCTCCTTAAATATTGATAGTAATTCACCAGTCGCCCTGTATATTATAAAACACGAGTAAGAAACAATATTATTATTTTAGTCATCAATATCAACATTTTACAACCGGTGTCCTATATATATTTTCTTTGTAAGATAAATATATATAATATTTTTATCATATATATATATATATATATATATATATATATATATAATATTCTATATACTCACTTATATCTGTGCTCTTATGACTATCACTGTTATCCTTATCCTTATCCTTATCTTTATCTTTATTTTTATTCTTCTTTGTAACACTAGCAGCCTCTTTCTTTTCACACTTGATTGTTTTGCTACCTGGAAATATGTTATCATCACATATAAACAAATTTTCATATTATTTTCATACAATGTACATCAATCCTAATATTTATACATAAATCTTGCCATCCCACACACATATAAACCAATAACACTTGCTTACTTTTAAAAGCTTTAAATATAAATGTATAAATGATATATCCCTACTAATATTATAAATGCGAAAGTCACTGTGTCTGTCTGTCTGTCTATTACTCTTTCACGCCTAAACCACTGAAGTGATTTTAATGAAATTTCGTACAGAGATTGAACTTGAGAAAAAACATAGGATAGTTTTTATATCAGACTTTTGAAAAGTTCTCTTGGAAACGCGATATAACCGAACTCCACGCGGGCGAAGCTGCTGACGGAAAGCTAGAATATTATAAGATATATTACTTCTCCACGGTTCGTGTTCTTCGTTCCCAGCCCCCGCCCCGCCCGCCGAGCCGTTAGTGTGCGCGTGCGCAGAACCGGCCGGAGCGCTCGTGTGCGTTTTGTCACGCTGTATGTGCTTTTCTAGCTTATCCAACTGTAATTGTTTATATGTATGTTAATAATAATCAGAATGGGTTTCTATATATTTTTGTAGTTATTGATAATAATGGAAAAAATTTGAAGTACTGATTGGTAATGTTAGTGGAGTTATACGGTTAGTGTGTTTTATAACATTCTTATTACAGTAGTAGAAGTTTCTTGTTGGTGTTAATGATTTTCTTCTTATAATTTCATATAACACTTCCTTAGTCCACCTTTAACACTTAGACTGCTGTGAGACTAAATTGCAACACTGTAGTCTACAATTTACCAACATTTAATTAAAAGTCGAGCTACAACTTTTGACTGAGTTTAATAGTTTTTCATTTCCAGTCTTATAGAAGTCTAATGCTTAACTGACACCAAAATTATGAAACCTACGAATGATCGGTCATGTTCATATTTGCAAGTAAAATCTATGCATGTTCGTTATCGTTCGCATACGCTATATATGCATGTGCATGCATGTAACCTTGACGGTGAGCGCGTGGTCCGCCACACAGACTCCGTTGTGGTCCCTCGCACAGCGTCTCTTCACTGAGCCGATCATGTGCGTGTTGTTCTGGCTCTGGGTCTGTGTCTGTGTCGTTTGACTCGTCTGGTTACACTCGCCGTTGCTTATGACTTTATTTTCCTCGGACTTCTGAAATTTTTTCATGCGATATTAGGTTTTAATCTTACCTATTTAAATGAAACGAATATTTTTGGATTACCACGCGTATTTTATTATTACTAAAAATTAAATACTCTCGACGTTTAGATTAGTTTGCAGCAACTGTGATCACGGGCGGACGAAATGCGAATTCAATGTGTTATTAAATATTATTACTGCCCTTCATGTAAGAGTTTAGTCTAACGAGTCCTTTTACTTTTAGAGAATTTTAAATCCACGTATATAAAAAAGTAACAAACCGAGAATATTTACAACAAATTAAGGTAATATTAACATTTCTGCGAATTACAAATATTTTGTTATCATAACCATTTCTGCGAATTACAAATATTTTGTTATCATAACCATTTCTGTCTGATACGCCACCATACATTTTTATATGTTAAATTAGCAAGGTCATTATCGTCTTCAGCCTATCAGAGCCCACAGCTGAGCAAAGGCCTCTTTCTCACTTGGAGAAGGTTTGAGCATTAATCACCACGCTTGCTCAAGACGGGTTGGTGATTTCAAACTTATAATTGTGAAATTATAAGTCCAGGTTTCCTTACGATCCTTCACCGTCTAAGGTTATTATATATATTTTAAAACTCACTCCCAGCTTCAACATTATTCGTACTTATTCACAGTCCTAAGATGCATCGTGTATATATATTACCTGTTCCAAAGCACTCTCCGGCAATGCGTCTCTCAGGAGCTGGAAGTAGAATTCGTTCTCAGCTCTAACTTGACGCTGTCGACGTTGACGCAAACGACGACCGACGTAAGCCTGGAAAGATATTTTTATATTAACACATGTAAATATATAAAAGAAAGTGGGGTTAATTACACTATTTATAACTCAAGAACGGCTGTACGGGTTTGGCTTGAAATTTGTAGGGAGGTAGGTTGGAATCAGGAAGCGGACATGGGATACTTTTTTGAATCGGTCGAACAAAAAAAAATTGCTAATAAATTCTAAGATTTGTTTATTTACTTCCTCTTAATCGAAACAGTTCGCCTGGTCAGCTGTACATTCCTAATTATGAAACTAATGCGGACAAATTCGCGAGCAAAAGCTAGTCAATAATATAACTTCGACCAGAGAACTTGTTAAAGGTTTTAATTCGTTTTTAATACCGACCATGTATTCCTATCATAAAATTCTTGATCTAAGACAAACATATGACGCTGCTTTAACAATATGCAATCTTTTAAAAACTGTATTAGATTTGATCGTATCTGAACGACTGATAGCTATAGTCATTCCAAACGTACAAAGAACACACTGAAAGGGTGTATAATAATATAGTCGATACATTTTCTTAAATTTGTTCTGATAAAAGTGTTATAATGCGGAGAATAATGTTTATATATATTATTAATGTTATACTACAAATACTACATATAAAGTTACTAAACAAACAGCTCAGTCAAAGAAAAATAAAACTAAATTTATAACAGTTAAATATTTTAAATATATTTCAACATAAAAAACGCCGTATCACAAACAACATCCGGACCATTTCCCGGTTTAATAATATTATGTATGAGCACTATTTTTAGACTTCGCTAAAGTTTTATGATAGCGTATCGTACAAACAAAATCAATACAAAGTTGTGGCATTTCATAGAAAATTAATTATACATTATTATTATTACTTTTATATTAGTTGATATACTTGTGTTTATATGTTTAACAATTTCTTGATTAACAACTGATAATCCTTACAATATTAATGAAAGAATTGAAAATGCTCGCTATAAAAATACGAAATATTTTTTTATAAAATAATAATTATTCGATCAATATCATTGAAAATGATACAAAACGGGAAAATAATAACATATTATTCGTCAGATTTTTCACATGTCGTGTATAAGCAATATAAAAATAAATAAAAGAAAAAAAGTAGATCATTGACATAACCACTACCCTGGCTCAAAATATATATAGATTCAAATTCATTCATAAACTCACACATGAGAGTATCGACGTCGGTGTGTTAAGGAAAAAATTCTAAATGTCTGTAACATTGAAAACCAATGGTAAGGGTACAGTAAGACGTTCTGTTGCGATGTTTAAACTCTTAGGAAATATTTTGTCATAATTTTATTTGTAATTAAATAATAACAACCTAGGCCTTGAAATACTTTTCGAATGTAAACAAAATTTCAAAAACAATTTTTTAAATTGTTACTCCCTCAAAAAAAAATTAAATACTACAAAATTACACTTAGTGGTTAAACATGTACTAGTAAAATAAAAATACATAATAACCAATTTCGTCGCCAAAGAAAAATATCTGCAGGCCAGATTATTTTCGAGCACAAGAAGATTGTGCGTCGGTTTCAGTGGAGGTAATACGATCTAGCAGAAACAGGTGGGGTAGGATTTACCCTCTCCTTGGGGGTAAATAACACCCTAATATCTGTTACTGCGTAATCAAGATTTAACTGATATGATTACATATTTTTGCAATTTTATACAGTAAATGTCACATTAGTGATTGATCAACAATAGTAGAAAAAATATATTTTTTTGAATATTGATCTGAAGTACATATAACATAACGACGAAGCAAAAATATTTGGTCTTTATATATATTGTTTGTAAATTATAACCACACAGATTTACATATTTGATATACATATTTGGGATACAATATTTTTGGTGATATTTCAATAAATATGTACATATAAATTTTCATAATATTATATTACTTCATTAAAAAGAGCTTATTTCTGGATTTATATTAAAATATGTTTTTTGAATAGCTTTTTACTTTTGGTTAAAGATAACCAAAGTGCTAGGACCACATCTTTAATGTTTAAAAAATTCCAATTCTGGAAATTATTTACTTTTTAATTGTCCTTGGAAACAATTCCTCGTTCGCTTTTCTCCGGGATTAGATTACGAAATGTATCACATCATTTATCAGTAAACTGGTAATGTTATTTGATAATTTTGGTTGAGTTTTTTCTCATAGTTTTGAGCCCAACGTCCATTTTAACTAACATATACATATGTCAGTACCAATGTTTCTCTTATTATAAAATGTGAATCGAATTATAAAATTTCAGGTTAATAAGCTTAATTTTTTTGTTTGCCTAGATGAGTGTTTTTTATTTAACCATGTCTAATTTTACACTGGAATAGTGGAATATTTTGCTATTGTCAATATTTTTATTTGTTAGAAAGATGTTATTCATCAAAATTAGTGACATGTTGATTGATTACAATATAAATTATTTTACGAGATTTAATTTGTGCCATTTATCAATATGACCATCAGTTATCGTTAAAATTTTGTAAATCTGAATGACGTCATGTACTAGCCTGTGAATTATTATCACGGAATTTAGACCAGTAGGTATTATTATATAAAAAAAATGATTTCAATAATTGTCCAAAACCACTTCTGGTGTGTCTTTGGTGTACTAAATATCCTACTGAATATTTTTTTCTTATACTGACTAAAGATTAAAATGGAAATAATGCACGAAATCAGTAAGCATATAATTACTCTTGCCATGACGATATCCATATTGTACGAGCCAGAAAAAGCATACGTAGACAAAATTGTGCCAATTTTTGCTATACATGGAAGAAAAAAAAAATTAGCGCTTTCACTTCGAGGAAGATCTAAAATAATTCTAAATTGTTGACTATCGCCAAAGCTTTTATTTCGTATTAAAACAAAAGCTACAAAACAGGTGTCGGATTTATTGGATAGAACTGACTATAATCTACTGTGAATACGTCGAGCTCGATCGGCTTATGTGCAGCGATGTGGAAGGATATTTTGTTTTTTAAAGCTTGCACGGACAAAGTTCTAGATTGTAGATTTTTTGCGATAGTTCCTCACAATTTATTTATATGACAAAATGTTTTGAGATTGTAGCAAACATACTAAATATACAGGGTGACTGGTGAATTACTATCAATATTTTAGGAGAATACTCGGTACATGATTCTCATTCGAATTATGTAAAAAAAAAATAGGTACTTAATTTTTGACCAAATTTCCGTATAAATAAATAAAGTGTGGACACGTTCCAAGTGTTCCAAGTGTGGACGCGTGCGGCGGCGTGCTGATACAACACCACGCCGCCGACGCGTGTGTGTGTGTGTGTGTATACCTAATCTGTAGGGTGTTCACACTATGCGTAATTAATTTCATAACTTTCGGGTAACTATACTTTTTTTTTTTTTTTTTTTTTTTATCGCGGTGAAAGGTTTTATACCTACCCCTCCGTCTAGGGGAGACAGAGGCGGTTATGTGGGATTCACGGCCAGAAGGGCCCATGTTACCCACTAAAACACCAGCGGTCACTCTCCGTTGCCGCCAAGTGGATCGCCACGGGAAACGCCGAAGCATGCATCCGCGACGATCCGGCGGCGGGCCGCGAACGGCCACCTCCCCCCCCCGAGGGCTCACTCCAAGTGACCAGGAGTGTCCCCCCGCCTGGCGGGCTTGCTTAATCGCGAGAGGGTTAACCCCTTACCCCTCCCACCCAAGCCCACGCGGCCAGTCTCCAACCACCCACCGACGAGCGCAAGCGCCCGACGGCAGACAGAGAGGAAACCGACCGACCACAAGCGAACTCAGGCCTCCGGAGAGACCCGAGTATCCCCTCCCCCCCCAAGACAGCCACGGACGGCCTCCTGCCAGATCCGTGACCGTCTTACTCCCAGGGCTGTACCCCCAGCCCTCCCCCCCCCCGTGACTGATTGCACCGGAATATACCAGTGGGCGATGGGGTCGTCGGGTAACTATACTTAGAAGTTTATTAATATTTATGTTATATTAATTTTTATTTTGTCATATATGATCGTCAAATATCACGTCCTCAAGTATCGATAGTAATTCACCAGTCACCCTGTATAATAGGATTAATAATAATATAAAAACTATTTTGATATATTCGATAATTTAAGAGAATACCTAAATGTAGAATTAATCTCAGTAGGAATATGTACAGTCATATAATTCAAATTTTTAATTTCTGATAACTTCTTTAGACATCTTTTTTTTCCAAGTTTATAAAATATCTTTTTATTCTAATTTATCGGTACTTTTCATGTTTCTTAATTCCTTGTTAGTTACTTAGTTTTTATTTGATTTACCTGTTTTTAATGTTTGCATTATTTACAAAGATTATATTTTATGGATTATTTTCTATTAATAACTTTCCCTTTTTTATTCGTTTTTTTTTCTACAGCAGATGAAACTCAAGTGAGAGTAGACTGATGTTAAATATCACGTGATAAGTGAAATTAAATAGCAAGGGCTAAAAAGGAAACGCCTGAGGTATCCTTCAACAAATCTCTCTCTCTCTCTCTCTCTCTCTCTAAATACGAATGCGGAATGCCAACGTAAGGAGTTGTCGTCACCCCCCCCCCTTTCCTGAATAAGTAAAACAGAGTTCCGGAGTACTGATGAATTCTCTGGCCGTATGAGAACTGAGACCTAGGGAATCTTTTAAACTACTTTTATTTAATTTTTTGGGTGGAAAATTTTAGACCTGACTCAAATTGTTAATCATCTCGATACTACACCCTCATGATAATGACGCCTATGAGGAATTTTCTTGGCGATCGGAGTTCACTCTCAACATATCACAGTCGAATAAGCTCAGAATCACCTCTCACACGACTCTTTGCTTATCAAAGGCAAAGACTTAAAATTTTTAAGATTATTAGACGGATCGTCAGACCGTCGATTGATCAATCACAGTGACGGTATACTAGTTCGTCAATTAAATTGGCACAAAAAAAAAATACCGTATCAGTTCATACGAAATATTTACACGCTACAGGTCCAATTTCTTCAGTATGAAGTATATATGTATTAAAATTTAGTAATAATCTATCAAGATAGACATAGAACATTTGACTATATTTGTCATGTACGTATATATTGAATTAAGAATAAATTACCTTGAATCCAAAGCCGAGTGATATAGCCGGGTAGCCGAGGCAGTGAGCGGCGAGCGGTCGCCACAGCTCCAACACGGCCCGAGCTCGGACTGCGCCCTCCACGTACACCACCAAGCAGCACAGTGCCACAGTCGACACGCAAACACCCTTATCAGCAACTGTATATCATTGAATTATATGAAATTAAAACGAAGTTAAGTATCCTACTAATATTATAATTGCGAAAGTTTGTGAGTGTGTGTGTATGTTTGTTACTTTTTCACGCTCAAACGGTTGAACCGATTTTGATAAAAAAAATTATACAGGAAGCTGACGTCCAGGAAAAATATATAGACTACTTTACATCCCGGAAATCCGATGATACCGCGGGGCGCAGCTAGTGAAAAATAAAGACAACCAATTTTTCAATCAAAATAATTATTGAATAATTCTTTGAATATCGCAAATTCTCAAAATCTTCCATTCCTCATCCTTATGAGTTAGGATAGGAATCATTATCATAATCCGTCACCACTCCACTTGCTCCTCCTTTAATGGCATATATAATACCTTAATTTTATAGAAATTACATCTACTTCTTTTTAAACTCCCCATAAAACCACTCACATCTACCTTCATACTTCTATTAGTAGCATGATATTCACGACTCCACATAATATGACCACACCAGGCAAATCTTCCACTCTTAAAATTCTCCCTGACTAACTGGTTCTGCCACATATTTCCTACTAATACTAAACATCTTAAACCCCACGTTCATCAGATTCCAACGTCATTTTACGAATCTTACTGTACCTACAACTACAATGTCAACATCATTTGTATTGGACAAAGCATAGACAAAGGATCTTGCTTCTAAATGTCCATTATCAGTGCAGCCATTACAAGAAGAATCAAATAATGGCTTAAAACAAACCTCTGTTCTAAACCTACAGCCACATTGAACGTATCAGTTTTACCGGCTGTCAATCGATAGTACATACACAGCTGTTCATTGGTCTAATTAACTGTTGGCAAGAAGTTCCAGGTCAAGGAAGACCATATCTTTGTAAGTTCTTTTGTGCGCAGTTGATTTTAGTTATAGCTCACTTTTTCACATGATGTTGTATAGAAAATTTTTGTAATTTTACTATATTAAAAAAACTATTATTAAAATAAAATATACCGTTTTTCTAAGTTCAAATTTAAAATATGTTTAATGAAGAAAGATAATAAAATTTTCGATTATCTTAATTTAACTCAAAAAGTGACAATCAAGGCATTATGTGCAACATAGCTATTTTATATTTTTTGTAAAGTAGTTTGCAGGGGCAAAGCTGGGGCGAGTTCCTAGTGATTAATAAAATGAGAACAAACAGCAAATCTAACTATCTAACACTAGCATTCTTTCTGAACTCATTACATGTCATGTTTTTATTATTTCATATTTTTATTTCTTTCTCCTATACTCTGCCATTCCTTAACAGCATTAATATTTCTTTCAGTGTTCCTTGTACTTCATCATTCTGCATTCACATGTTGTTATCCATCAATCTTTTCTTTTTTAACATCCAATTTCATTGTTTATTACACTCCTAAAACATTCAGCCATCTCCTTCAATATTTATCCATAAATTCTATCAAATCATTGCCGTCCTTCAACATTTTTCTCACACTGGTCTTTCAATTACATGCCATATTATTTTGAGACTAATTTTAGTTTTATTTAGTAGTATACGTACAAAGCATCTTAAATAATTCAATAAATATTAAATACCAAAAATAATTAAAAATAACTTACATGAGTACCAAATAAATTGTACCCAAACATATGTACTGGCAGCAAATATAAGGTACTGTAGTGGTATGAAGAAGAAACATATCATGTCAGATGTGAGGGCTATGCATATAAAGGAAGCCGAAAAACACCTGAAAATAATTACTAATTAATAAACAAATAAATATTATAATACTTATTTTTGAAAAGTATAACTCATTTTTTGTATAAATCTTATATTTTATTTATACTTTTACAATCCATATAATTTATATGATTAAATTTATAATTTAATTCTGTGCTTGCTATTAAAATAACACTGTTAATCACAAAATGTACAATAAAAAATTTATATCATTATATTTAATCATAATATAGTCAATACTTATTAATTATATAATAATAATTGCATAAATATATACTCACAAGTCCATGGTACTTGAAGGATTCATATGCGGTTCTCAACATCAACCAAAATGGCCAGAGGAACTCGAGCCTGAACTCGAGCATGTAGTCGGCTATCACAACTGTTGCCCATACCATTACAAATTTCACATACACCATTGAACACTATAAATTAAAATAAATGATAGTAGATTTATTATCCTGTTTGTTCCCACTAATCTTCGAAATGGCTTAACCATACTTAACAGGCTTTTACTAACAGATAGGTGTTACAATAAGGAGTGACTTAAGCAAATATTATTTTGAAATTTTATTTATTTTTGTTAGTATAAGTAATAAAAGAACAACTGCCGTGTGTGAATGTAAGAAGCAGTTGGTATCCAATAAGAAAAAATAATTTATTATATCTATTCTTTACATTATAACATTTATTGTAACTATAAATATGTACATAGTATTAAAAATAGTGCCTGTTTACAATTTCTAAATTTAATTCCATGGTTTCTATGCTTTGAGTATCAAAGCAAAAACATTAAAAAAATATTTATCTCCTTGTTCTAGTGAAATGGAGCAAAGATGGTAATAAGAAAAAAATTAATAGGATAGTTGGTGGGTATTCAGAATAAATCATAGGGATTTTACACTTCAACATTTATAAAAACAGTAAACAAATATACATAGTGAAAAATTTATAATCTATTAACATGCCTTCATATAATAATCGTGTTTAAGTGAGTAATAGACGTGGGGGCTTTTATTTTCTTTTTTATATACGCTCTATCACGTAGAATGAATGCCAGATGTTGTGCAGCCCACACGATTGTACATCCCTACATATAATAACATGAATAGTACTTTAAAACAGGATAAACTAATACCATTTTCACAACATAACATATAACTTTAATAGCAAGAAACTTTTATTTTACTCACTTTCCATACATTCCTTCAACAATTTTATTGCGCTTTACAGGGCGCCGCATTTTGCCAGTATCGGCATTTCGTCTCTTCATATTTTTCCTTCACAGTGTTATCGCAACGATAGCCTCTATCCACAACACTTATTTTTTATAATAAACATTTAGAACAACAAAGGTCCCACTCGAAATTCACTTTTTGTTGTCACTCAGCCTATACGCAAAATTTACGAGGGAGACGGATAAATTATTATCGGTAAGCTGTTGAACTGTTCACGAAAGTCACAGATTTACAAAATAACAATGTTACCATTTTCTAATAGTTTATAGTATAATCATAGATTTCAAGAAAAAGTGTAGTGACATCAATTCTCAACATTACATTAATGTTTTGTTTTGTAGTTTTTAATTTAAAATTTAAATAGAAACTGTACACTTACATGTTGAATTTTTAATATATATGTGATCCTCAAGAGTCAAATCATTCATTATATATTTTTTTTATTTTGGAGTATTATATAATTATATGATAGGAAGAATCGCCTGTTACAAATAGTTTTCCATTTTTATTTAGCTACCGAAACTCTGAATTGTTTTTATGATTGTTCAACTAATTTCTTCATTGTTTGATATATGCTGCTCGTTCAGAAGGGCCGATGGATACTAACAATCGGAACATAATTATTAATTTTCCACTTTAAATTATGTAAAGTACAATTGATGAAAATTGAAGACGACATATTGTAGTTAATCTAAGTTGATATCCACATAGTGTTGATACTGCTCTGACCTAAAAATATCAACAGAAACACTATTTATACATGGATTTGATAACTAGAATTAGTCTTATTTCTACCTTGAGTATTTTTGAGTACGTTTTTGGGAAAATCATCAGGGATGTCTTTTATGATTTTCTTAACGCACTGATAGGAATAGTTCTAAAAATACATTTAATTTAATTTGTAATCATCGGGTCCAATGGTAATGTCTAAGCAAAGTGTTATTTGAAGAATTACTTGATATTGCTAAATCAATCTTTTCTGGTTTTGCATCCAGGAAGCACACTAAACCATCAAAATCTCGGTCTATCTTTCTTTTTTAAGGAAGTCTGCGAAGCACAACCAGAAAGTCATTAACCAGTAACAAACTAATGTCGTCGTGTCTTTATGATTTCTTTTTGGGAGTAGTGTTAGGAGAGATCGCATATATGAGTGGTTTTGCATTATATTACCAACATGATGTTAGCAGGTGCGATAGCTACCTCCTGTTAAGCGCGAGGTACCTCTTAGCATAGATTGCTCGCTATCAAGTTTCAAGTCGGGCTATCAATTCCCTTATTTAGCAGCGAAGAGTATCGGGGAGATTAAATATTTACGATAGTGATGTCACCAGGACGAGATCAATCCTAAAGTTTAAAATAAGTGTTAGATTGATTACCATGTTCCAATCTTGTAACACTATTTATGAGGGAATAGGTGAATGGCTAACACCGTTGTTTATCAAATACACAGGACTTGGTGACTGGCTGTTAAGGTCCTTATGGGATCCTTATTCTTACAGGACTATGACACTTTTCCTAAAGCCCCAAACAGGTTGGACGTGGAGGCTGAGAGTAAGTTCAGAAATAATAATAATAATATTATAAAGTAATAATTATTTCAGATATAATTCCATACCTAGCATACCTACTCGTTCAGTAACGCCGAAACATGTAAATTCGTTTCAACTAATAGACCAAATGTGTGTCTACGTCTTTGTTTTTTTCCAAACTGTAGTATAGCGATATTATGAAACATGTGAAATATACATAAATATAAAAAAAGATAATATATATTACACGAACAGGTGGACTTTTAAATTTATATTGTGTACATAAATTGCAACGAACAGAAAAATTATGGACTTCGACAAAGAGAACTTTGAAGTTTGACATAATTTGTCAAGAAGTGTAGAGGAGCCTTCCAAATTGTCAAATGTTATTGGCAAAATATAACAGAAATTCAATGTGAATAAAGCCATAGCATAAAATATAAAATGAATAGTTAGATGTTCTAAATTGTACAAATATTGTTTGCAACTGTTTAAACTTCAAGATGTCCATTAACTTTAGTGACATGTAAACTTGATCTTGTGGTTAATTATTTTTATTAAACTATTGCATTTAAATATAATATTAAATATTGATATAATATAGTTAAAATAGGTTAAAAATGCTTCTTAATGAAATAGTGGAATCAGTAAAATTATTTCTCAAAAATACACACATAAATGTTAAACATGATTGGTTGGCAAGGGTAAGGATACATTTGTTGCTTTCATTGAATATATAAAAGGTTGAATATTATTTTTGAGAATTTTTTTCAGGTGTGTAGAATATTTGCACGAAAAAAGTTATGATTCTAATTCTATAAACAGGATAAACTAAGGAGCAGTGGTTATTAAATGATTTAAAAGAAGTTTCTCTGGGATGTCTTCCTCCTAATTTAAATAAACAATCTCTAGTTGTTTTAGATGGAAATTATGTTCTTCAAGTAAATTCAGAAATTGATATTGGTGAGAGTTAATTATGTAAAAAAACCATTTTGTATCAAGCAATAAGCAACAAAAAATTTTATACTAAAAAAATTTTCAGCCACATCTGCTTATCAACAATACAGTAAATTGAAAAATGTAAAACAATGAAAATATTGAGGCTACAATAAGAAACTGAGGAAAAAATTACAAGTAACAGGTGAAATAATTTTTAAGTCACTAAAATTAAAGCTTTTTTTTATTCTATTAATGAACGATATCTAAATTTACAATTTCAGAATGCTCAAATTCTTTTTAACTGATGGTGTACAAGATGTTACTGCTATAGAGTACAAATGTATAAATAAAATAAAAAAATGATTTAAATCCAGGTTATAAAATTCTAGTTAAAGGTAATTTAATGGTTATCTAGAGAGATAACCATAAATAAATTAGAGAATTTACCTTTTAAACCAATTTAATATTACCTTGTTGGCAGTTTTTTAAAATAATTAAAAATGTTTTAATGTATTAACAGGTCCAGTAGTGTGTCGGAATGGTGTCATTTTCTTAACAGACAAGGATGTGGAAATGATGTGGGGTGAAGTCAAAGGAATACAGCAATACAAGTTCTAAGATGTCAATTACTCTCTGCAAAATTAGGTAAGATGATTAAATTAAAGTCTATATAAGTAATTATTTTCTTCTCAAAATTAAATATAACTTACAGGATTATCAGATGCTATTACCCCAGTAAACAATCAAAATAACTCAGTTGGGAATCAAAATCATACAGTTGTTAATGAAAATAACACAACTGATAATACATTAAATAGATTTGAGTGTCAAACTAACACAAACTGAGCAACAAAAATAGAAATATAAATCAAGTAGACGTACCTCAGAATCAGAATAGTGATGAAAGAGTTGTGGAATTTATGGACTTAGATGAATATGAAGAAATAAGACAGAGTACTCCCACCGACTTACTTGCTAGCCATGGTTCGAAGACGATTCACCAGCATTTAGTACAGTCAAAGTCTCAGCAAGTCCGTTTGTTTATATAAAGCAAATAATTGATTTAAAATGAAAGTGATATAATGAATAAGGTATTTAAAGTGAAAGCCCAAATACTTCATCTCTTAAAAACGGCCATCATTTACTAAGGATAAGTGGATGGTTGAATGTAGAATAACAGATGGAACCGGTTGTTTAAATGTGGAAGTTAGTAGTTCCTTGTTCTCTAGTATAATATCTCATACTCCACAAGAAATGGCTGAATTGAGCTTGCAAAGACAAAACAGATCAAGCAACTAAAGAGAGAAATAGATAGAGATTTTGTTAAGGTATTAAGCTTTATAATGTTTGTTTTCCTGTGTTTGAATAATTGTTATCGATGTTTAGTTGTTAATATTCATAACAAAATGCATTTTTTCTAGCATTTATCAGAAGCAAAAGAAAACTGGATTCTGAATACTCTATAATGGAACTTAGAATGTCACCAAAACCCGTTATAAACACGATTCATCCCATTCACTGAGCAGCATGTTATGCTGTTTACAAAAAAGGTTGCAAGGATTTTGATACCGACTAATATATCATAGACAATACATAGAACAATATGTGACAGAACAAGATATCTTGCCCATAGACAAAGAATTATATATTAATTTCTGTTTTGAAGGCACTGCTATAAAGTGATATGAATTTCTGGGACTAATTTTTTAAATGAAATCTCGTCTGCTGCGTCTATATAATAGTTATTAAACTGTCGCCAGTATCTTAATTGTTCCTATTATGCCACTTCATTCAAATTTCTTTTTACCACTCTAATGTTCATAGTGATGACCACTTAACATCAAGTGTACTATCATATTAACTTTGATACAATAATAATATAATATCAGTATTTGTTTAATGAAAATGACAGATTTTTAAATCTATTTATTTAATACACGTCCTCTTGACATTGCATGGGTTCAATATACAAAAAATTATCATTCATATAACATCAACACAGGTTAACTAATGTGCATATTCCCTTGCACTGACAACTATAAAAGAGCTGATTGAGAAATTGACAATCAATAGCATTCGAAAGGAAAAATTTAATTCAACTAACAATTAGCAAGAAAGTCCATATTAAAAAGCCATATAAAATAAAAAATAATAATAATGAAAATTTACTTTCCAAATGCTCTTTTTCAATGAGCAAAATTAGAAAATATTCATTGGCTTATGCAATTTCTCTGAAAGCTCCTTAATGTCAACATAAAATTAGTTGAACACAGGAACAGCATAACTAAATTGAGCACTCAACTAATTAATAAATCAATAATAGAACAAAAAAAGGTCGATATAATTAAAAAAAAATTATGTACTCATTTAGTTCACAGAAAATATATTGGCACTCACATTGAGTATTTTTTATTTATAATGTAAATGTACACTAGTTTTTGTTAAAATAGAAAACATGTCAAAATTAATATTAAAAATAACAAAGAATGTGAGGCCAACAACAGTGTATGAATGAGACATTACAAAATATAATAAATAACACGATTTGCCAATTAACTCACGAGGTAATACATAACGTAGCAATGTTGACACTTCAACGGAAGACTCTTCCATCACGAGCGTTTTAGAAATAAATTACACTTTAAAAAAATATTACGTATTACATAGTTTCTTGCAATAAAATTATACTTAAATCCTTTTGCCAATTATCATAGACATTTAAAACCGTATGAAAACCGACACTAGTGATAACTGGAGAGGCATAAAAAACTCAAGTCGGTTCAGAAGCGTTATAAATTAAGCGAAAAAAAAACTATGCGTATTAATGTAATGAGTTATCGCAAACAGCATGCATCAAAGATGGCGAAACGTTTTCCTATGTCAAGTATCCTTTACAAAACACAGTCTCCGCGACCACGTACTGAACAGTCTTGAAGGTTAACATCAGAGCACGAGAACCACATCGAATCAAAGGATCATATACAGGGTGCTACAGAACACGCTCGTAGAACAGTAGGTAGGCTTGAGCGCGGAGCACCTTTTCCTCGCTCACCTCCGACACCATACTGTCGGATACATAGTACCAGCGAGCGGCGGGCGGGCGGCGGCGCCTCGCCTGATTCGTATCAGAGAGTTCAGAGTCATCATCACGAACCCGCCCCGGCAAGAAGCGGCGGCCGGCGGGCGCCGGACCGCGTCTTTACATACGCGACGTAATGTCCACCGTGCATACCACCAGAATGTTTCCACCACCCCGTACAGAGAATACAACAGCCGGCCGCGGCGTCTCGACTTATCTGCGGCGCAGAAGGGCGCCAGGTCTAACAGTATGGGGAAGTCCACGTGCTTGGTCATCTTACGGAAACATGCAGCGGGGGCCGAGCTGGAAGCGCTTCAGGTGCAGGATGAGGACCGCAGGCGGCTGCTCGATACTAGGAACCGCTTGGTCGCGTTCGTGTACACCGTCTTGCCTCCCTTGCCCGTTGATACGTTCCGTGCATGTATCGCAGCCGACTTTATTGTTACCGGTGAGCAGCTCGAGCGCTGTGAAACTGGCTGAGGCAGGACTGAACGCGCATTCGTCTTCATCGCCACAACGTAACGAGGGGGACGTCGGGCTTTGGGCGGGAGAAGGACATGAGATCTCTGTGATGATGGTCTCTGGCTCCGCTTCCGGGAGCTTCGGTTTAGGCGCGGGCGGGCGGAGGTACAGTAGCCGGGGACGACGGCGGCGGAGGTTTCGCTTCAGGTTCAAGTTTAAGTTATTAAGAGCGATTTCTTCCTGGAACACGGCCTCCTCCAAGGTGTTCACCTCCCAGCTGTTGTCGAACAGCTCGCGACAACCCTGCGCGCTGATGCCCCTCGTCACCACCTCGTTAGAGTATTCTGGCGCGAATGATATTCGTGATACCGGTCTTTCGAATACGCTCTTGACCGGTGACAGTTTGTTGTGCTGGGGGCTCGAAAGATCCAAGTTGATCTCGCTGGACAATGAGCTATGACTGCCGAGCTCTTTCCCATTAAGAGGCGAATCGACATTGTCCACTGTTTCCGTTTGAATTATGCTTCGTCGCTTCCGGACTTGCAACACCGGAGTCCGGATTTGAGAAATTCTCTAATGGTATTAAAGGTTTATATTCTGAGGGTATGTTCGTGGAGGTGGAACTCTCAACGAACTCCTTATCTTTGTCCGTCGTCTCCGGTGTGTTGTCTGTTTTTTCTTATCCAAATCCACAGGACTGGTGCGGATCGAGTCTGAGCTGATGACTTTCTCGAGTTGTAACCTGACTCCATGTGGTAGGCTGCGAAGTTGGCGGCCGTGTGTGCGACGGCCTGCGTGCCGACGGATGTCGACGTGTCCGTCTGTCGAGGCTGATCTTCCAAATTATCTTCAACATCAGCATCCGATTCTGAAGATGATTTTTCTTCCTCCTTTGGTCCATTTGTTTCTTATCTTTGGAAGTGCCTGGAATGTAAGAATCTATTATAACAATGTATTTAAAACATCCAGCAGTGGAAATTAACCTTAAAATCATTCAATATTTAGTCATTAAACCATTAGAGACCTTTATGACTCTTTCTGGCAACTCTTCGATTAGCATATCTCTCTTTCTTCAACTGATGTTTAGACGGCTTCTCTTCTTGTGTATTAGTATTGTTTTCCTCTGAAATTAATAAGCCTTATTGTATACAAAAATGAGGGGTGTCACAAAAAACGGGTTAATTTTGTTATAAACAATAATAACGGATAAAGTTAAAATACAAATTTAATCTTTTCTTTGGCAAGTTAATAAGAAGTACAAAATACATTCATGGTAAATCATATACAATTTTGAGAGATTGGTTGTGGATTACTGACAGGAAACAAAATATTTTTAGTAAAATAAAAAAGAAAAATACAAATAAAAAAAATTTTCTTTAGACAAAAATCATACATATGTTATAACAAATCAATTAATACATTAATAATGAGTGAAAAAGTTATTAATTAAACATATATTTACCGTTAGTTTTCCTACGGACGATAGCTGGTGGCTGCGGACGAAATGCAGCCACAGGTAAGGACAGGTCTAAAAAGTATTCAGCTCGGTCAGAATGAGAATAACACTCCTGGGCACTCCAGGGTTGACACCAGGAAACCTCGGAAATACCTGTAAATAAAGAAATAAATATTGTAAGATAAAAAAATAAACATAATTACAATTAATCCAATGAAACAAGATAAACCAGTGTAATTAAACGTTCATTTGCATCTAACACTACTGTTCTTAAAAGTCAATATTTAGACTAATCTATATTCTATATTTCGTCTTATTCATATAGAATATTAGAACATTACAATATTCCTGATAAAAACATGCATTATGAAATATTTTATTAACTCTATAGCAGCTTCCTTATAGTATAATTTGTTCGAAATATTTTGTATAAGAACATAGGAATGGAATTCTTGCTATTCAGTCTCTGCTTGCAACAATAAACATTTTTTGTAATACAATTATTATTCAATTTATGGCAGACCCTGGCTAAAGCTGGGAAATTGCCAGGAAGAAGAAGAAGACAATTGTTATTCAATAATATAAAATCAGATACCTATGAGGTTTATTTACAAAATGTATCTTGTCTCGTTGGCTCTGCATGGTTATCTACTAATGGCCTTAATTAAGTTTTTTAATTATAACATTGTCCCATATACATAAGTTAAATATTGTTCAAATTAATGATAAATATAATATTTCAAACCTGTTCAGGTCTGAGCATAGTATCAGAGGCTTGTTGTCCATAGAATTTGACTTTCTGTTTAAACTTCCCCATTCACTTTGGCAGGATCGACTTTAGAATTCATACCGAGACTGCTGAGTATCACTGATTGGTAACGACGGAGATCTTCAGATCTGAAAAATAAAAACATAAAAACACTTAAACATACATTATATATATTGGTTATAATAAATATTTCGGATCATAATTTATCAATTAATATTAAAATAAATGTCTCATTAACTCAACCATAACAAAAATGATACATAGTGACAAAAAAGAACATATAATTATATATAATGTTATGCGAACAAATTGAGTCCATTTCCATATTGGATTTTTTTTAATACTATATTAATAAAGAAAATGACTGTAGTAGATTATTTTCTAGGACTATGGTAAGTGGGTCGTAGACAGCATTTTGGATAGCTCATTAAAAGCAGTATTACTTTAACAGATCAACTTAAAATGGGGTTACAAAGTTTTTTCCTTAGTAGTATGTGGGGCTTCAAGAAAGCCTTATACCACTTTTACAGTTTATTAAAATTTCTTACATCTGGCACAGACATAAACTTCCAAGAATATTTTGTAAATAAACTTACTAGACATTTGGTATTTTCCATTATGTAATAAATAAATTGGCGACAAGTTATTATGCCTTCATGACATTTTCAAAATGCCATGGACGTAAAAATACAAATGATTAATTTAAGTTGTTGATACAAATACAAATGATTTAATTTAAGTACTTGGAAAAATCTCAGATGTTTTTCATTACTGTAAACATTTTTAACCGACTTCAAAAAGGAGGAGGATTTTCAAATTGAATGTGTATGTTTTTTATTTCTATAGTGATTTCCATAGAAATAAAAACAATGTAATATACTCATAATATATTAAAAATTGACCCTAACACAGCAATTAAGTCATTTAAATCTTGCATATAAGTTTCTCATATTATGGGGAAAAAAGCAGAAAAACTAAAAAATTATATAATGTGTATATGAATCCTAATAAGCCAATTAAACATCCTGTGGTGTTTTGAAATGAAAAAATGATTTTGAGGTACTGAAAAACTATTTTAGTGTACATGTTCACAATTTTAAACAATAAAATAACATGGCTTAAGGTGAACAACAAATGTTGTGCAGTGACTTGAACTCTGACATAATAATAGCATTTACAAATTTAAATTATATTAATACGTTTTTTTATGTTATGCATATTAATAACTTGTGAAACAAAATAAAAAGAATTTGGATCATATTTAAGTGAATAAAGAGAATATATTTTGTGAATTTAGTTTGGTTATTTTTAAGCATGAGTTTTTAAATATGTTTCAATTACTTTGGTGTAACGGTGATAATTTGCAAATTAGATATGACTTAAGATATAATTCAATAGAAACATGATCAGTGCAGAAAAATTCAAATGACTAATAAAATGTAACAATAAAGTTAAGCGAGGTAAATTGTATTAGTTATACTTGGACAGAATTATTAAATAAGAATATGATGTTAAGGGTAGATAGATTTTGTTATCTTTCTTTCATTCAGTATTGCTATTTAGCACAATACATATATTACAAATTTAAGTACATATTATTGAATATCACAAATAAAGATGTAGATTATTTGAATCTATCTCTCTATCTATGTATCTATATCTCTAACCTGACGGCTTCAAGTAGATGCCTCAAGAGTTCATGAGCATCATGTTGGTCTCCTCCACCAAACTGAGGAAGCTTTGGTGACTAATGCCGACAGCAGCCTTCGAGGATTATACACACCTCCCTCGCCTGAAAATATTTAGTTAATAAATTAGTTGTATTACATTTAAACTGGTAATTAACCAAAGTAAATATTTAAAATTGGATTGTGTTATATTATTGTCTGTAGGTACAAATGAATATTATTTTTTAAACATGAAATTAACATAAATGGAATATTTATTTGATGCATTATTATAATTAAAAAAAATATAATAAGTTTTTTCTTTATAGTTAAATTCATATGTCATCTAATAAACCACTTAAAGTAATTATAAGTTACCTTGAGTTATAAAAATTAGCAAAATACAAGCTAGTGTGGATATTTTGAATAAAAGATAATAAAATTATGAATAATTACTTAAATTTTATCTCAATTTTTCTATATCCTTACAAGTGTGGTTTATCAAATTACAAACCAAGAATTGCCAGTTTATACTTATAAACCTAAATAGGTACAAGAAAGTGTGTAGACTCATTAATATACATCTAGGCAACACTGAAGTTATTGAAAGAATATTTTTTGGATAAGTCTATTAAATAATGCAAGATTTACAACAATGAAGAAAACAACCCAAAATTATTGTGATTAGTAGCATTACTATCTATTATTTAGTTTTAATACTTATTTAATGCAAAGATAAATATTTAACATACCTGCTTGCAACTCGGCTAAAAGTCTCAGCTAAAGTTTTTGTTAATGTGCCCCATTCTGCTAATTGTCCTGTGATTGGAGGAAGTTCTACTTCCACACCCTCGTCCCCACTCTGATCACCTTTAATTTTTAATTTACCACCAGGCAGAGTGAAACTTCTCACCCACCGGGCGATGACATTTCTTGCAAAAAACTTCTAATAAATAAGGCCGTCTGTACTAGACATTGCATTACCGAATTGAAAAAAACATGTGTTTCCTAAATTTGTCAGCCCTCTAACCATCGGAAGGTTCAGCGCCATAGCTTTATCTTTACCTTTGTCATTTCTTGAGATAGGTTCAAGGGGTCATTGGCAACTCTAGCTTAGATTCTAACGAGCCGAGGGGTAACGCTATTGGTGGCAGCTTAGGGTTATTTGAAGATGTTTTTTCAGATATTCTACTGCATTCATGTAATTTTTTAGCCACTGGAGGCTGTGATTTACGTTGTTACAGTTATAACAGTAGATCTCCCAGGTTGTGGTGTTTGCTGTTAATGCATGGCAATCAGAATGTGGCGTGTGGAAATGGTTAAGGGCATGCTTGTTCCCGTCGCTCTGCCGCACAACTGTGTTCCGCAACGCAGACACATCCAGAGGGTGACATCTTCTTCGTAATTTGAATCAGCAATTTCAGTTTTCGGACTTTTTTTGCACTCGGAACATTCCTTTTCGAAACCTCCGGTTTTTAAAGCCTTCTTTAATCTAGTAAGGTCAACAGCTTTGGCTACATGAGGACATGCGGATTTGACGGTTTCATCGCAAGATTCTGTCGAGTCGTCTCCATTTTCACTAGGATCGCTTTGTCTCTTTTCTTTACCATTGTGACGTTTTAATCTAGGTCAAAAACCGCCTGTAATGTAATCAGATACACTATTTAAGAATAACTTCACGAACACAAAAAGAAAGATTTGACAAATCTGTGTCGATAGCCATTGCACGCGTGACAAACGCACATTCACTCTATTATATTTCAAATGCTGTGGATTTGAAACAACATTAAAATATTTTCAATAAAACTTACAGTTACATATGACGTCTTGGAAATTAAAGTTAGAAATTAGCTAATCTATATTATGACTTAATTTCTCAAATTTTTGTCAGAAAAAACTATAGCACTGTCGACCGACATCTTTGTGTCCTTACCATTAATAAAAATTAAATTAGGCGCATTATACATGACAGTACGAGTCAAATTCACAAGAGTCGATTTCTTGTCAGTCGTTTAAGTGAAAACTTCACCGATATCAAGCAAAAATCCAAGTATCTAATTCGCAAACGGCCCTCTTATGGGAAGTAGCGTAACTAAAATCTCTGAAACGTCAACATGATATGAACTGATCGAGTTTCGTAGTAGAATTTATTAAATTGTTAACTTCAATTGTGTTACATTTAAAGTGTTTTACTTTGATAAATAAATGAACGAATAACAAACTAAACATTAGCAAGTGGTTTTAAAAATATGTAGTGGCAAGGAGATTAATTTAGGACCGTTTTGTTGACTTTGTTGATATTATTAAGTTTTTATTAAAATTACTAACAATGTCTTTGCCGGGCAATGGAATATTTGTTGTCCAGGGAGAGATGTCCATGCTGGTCACAGCCATGCGACGGAGCACCCGATGGGGTTCTCATTCCTTCCCAAACGAGGAATATGATGTGCTGACAAGAACATTTCAGGACTTGAAGACTATCCTAAATCAAGTCGATGATTTACGTCTTTTAGACCCTTTGACGTATCTTAGTCCCTTTTTGGAGGTAATAAGAAGCAAAGAAACTACCTGGGCCCGTAACAAGTCTTGCTTTATCTGCCATACACAAGTTCCTGTCTTATGGACTTATAGGTATGAAAGTGTTTTATTAATTTTCTGTGAAAAATCTTATTAGTTTCAAAAAATAATGAACCCTATTAATATAAACACACATAATATTAAAAACATAATTAAGTTAATATTGTTATTAATAATGATGAGATTTGGTATAATTCATATTGAAAACTAATAGTTCATACAACATAAAATTGTTTAGACATTGTCCAAATTATCAATTTTGTTAACATTAGATTGTGATAAAAACATATATCTCCATACAATGGAAAATATTTTTTGAAAATTTTAATAGTCCTAAAAAAATACATAAATCACAAGGACGGCAATGATATTATCTTTGTTTATCAACTAACCTAAAAGAAAGAGGTGTTTATAATTAGAATTAAATATAGCTTGACATATAAACATATGTAGTAATACAGTATTAAGAGATAAAGATCCTTGAAAAGATAATTAAATGATATAGAAACATATATGTAACAACAATATTTATTAAAAACTTTATTGAAATGGAGTGTTTCAGAAATTTTAGAATAATGTTTTAAAAAGTAAACAGTACATGAAGTTACTTATGTACTCAAAATGTAAATATCATTAAGAAAATATCATGAAATGTTACTAACTCCATTAATATGTGATAATTCTTAACTATTCAATAATACACATTGCTAATGTTTTAATTATTATTATTATGTAATTGCCATAATTAATATAATTGAAAAGATCATTTTGTTAAATCTTTATCTTATAAGGTTAGAAGTTGCAAAGATGATAACTTTTTCTGATAAGTATGAATATTAATGATTGCTTTGTCTGATTCAAGATCCGACTCATCCCAGTGTGCCGGCAACAGTAGAGGACATAGCTGATGCAGTAACCCATGCACGTTTTGTTGGAAACCGATCATTTCGTCAGATGGAGTAGTGTTATTAAAGATATTGCAGGTAATTTATACAGTGATTTCCATTTCACTGTTTTAAAATTGTTGAAGAGTTCTTTTATTTAAGGAAAATGTTATATAAGACAGTTTATTTTTAATATATCAAACAAAATTGTCATATATTACTTGGGTAATTTTATGCAAAAAAACTCATTTTTTTATTAATGATTCATTCATTCAACTTATGATTGTCGGATCTTGCTTAATTTTTTTTTTTAAATATACTCACCTAAGTCTCAGACATAAGTACATTTACATACAGTCATAAATAATAGTATCTATTAATTATTTATAACCTGTCGATTAATACTCAGTGTTCAATAATTATAGACATTTTTTTCCTTCCTGCCAATCAGAATTACTCATTATCCTGAAAAAATATATATCTTTTTTTTCTATTAAAGGTTCTTCGCACACTAATGCTCAGCCCGGAAGGTGCTATGTTGACAGACGAGAGTGTCTGTGAGATAATGCTCAGCTTGTTTCCGAACATGTTTTGAAACCAGATTAACAGGTTGTGTATTGAATTGTTATGAAATATTATTTTTGCTGTTGTAAAAAATTACTATGATAAGAGTGCATTTAGTTCAAAATTATTGACAATTCCCTATATGTAAAAATTTCTCTGAAAATTTAATGCATATATATAATGTGCAAGTTATTATCTTCTAGAGCTTCTTCGTCGTAATGCTGAGCAATGTCTTCGTGATATGACGCAGTTGATTTTCATGAGGCCTGCCGCAGTTTCCAGAGGATTCCACATCATTTACCTCTGTCGGATTATCTCTTAAGAGACGAGATAGAAATAAGAAGAAAAGTTACCGCCGCTAACAGTGAGTGTATAAGAAGGACATTATTTTATATTAACATATACAGGTCGTGACTGGTGAATTACTATCAATATTTAAGGAGAATACTCGGTACATGATTCTCATTCGAATTATGTAAAAAAAATAGGCACTTAATTTTTGACAAAATTTCCGTATAAATAAATAAAGTGTTGACACGTTCCAAGTGTTTCAAGTGTGGACGCGTGCGGCGGCGTGCTGATACAACACTACGTCACGACACGCGTATGTGTGAGTGTCAGTGTATACCTAATCTGTAGGGTATTCACACGATGCGTAATTAATTACATAACTTTTTGGTAACTTTACTTAAAAGTTTATTAATATTTATGTTATATTAATTTTTATTTCGTCATATATGATCGTAAAATAATCACGTCCTCAAATATTGATAGTAATTCACCAGTCACCCTGTATACATTGATAAGAAAATTATATTATGAAATAATATCTTCTTCACCCACTTTGGTAAGTAAGAGTCATTTTCATGAGTACAGAAATATTCCATCCAAAAAAGTTTATCCCCTCACCGCTAGATGGCGCTGTATTTTTCTACATCACGCTATCGAAATGTCATTCCCAAACGTATGTGTTGGAGTAAGATTCTAGTTTGTATAAAAAGGGTGTTTGCTGCTTTGATGGCACGTACGCCAAATATGGTGTGCGGGGTATGGTTTATCAAGACATACCCAACACGTAATTTTTGTTTTCGTGGGGCAGTTGGGACCTCTATGTACCGGCGCCTCCTATAATAGACAATTGTGATAATGATAAATAATATGATACTATGATAAATAACTATATTATGATACTAAGATAATTAACTACATATATGAGAAATATCATAGAGCCACTGTAATCATTGTTACATAAGTAGTAAGTAGATTTTCAATACAGAGAATTTCAGTGAAATTCCATCTAAAAAAATGTTACTCTATTATCTATATTTCAAGAGTTACAAGAATGTGTTGCCTATTGGTATAAATAATTTGTATACTTTACAAAAAAAACACAAAAAAGATATACTGCGTTTGATTTAAGCTGAGCTTTGCATTTGTGTGAGTGTACACAGATAGTGTAGGTGTGATGTAAAATTTTTTGAATGCAACGTTTTTTTTTTCTATTTTTGAACCGGTTTATTGTGCTTTAACTCCGCCCCGCACCTTCCTCATTTAACCTTTTGTACTGGTAGCAAAATCAAATGTTGAAAAACGCAATGTCAAGTTAGTAAGAATTTGTATAGTTTTTTCAAAATTTTTATTAATCAATTATTTTTTTTTTTCGATAATATTCATAATATTTTCCATGTGACCTTTTACAAGTTTTGCCTTATTTTATAGACCTTATGTTTAAAATATAATAAAATTTAATTCCAAATTTTTTTTATCTAACTCTACAATTACTTTCACTCACACAAATGTAAAGCTCAGCTTAAGTCTAACGGACTATACTTGTGTTTACAACATACATATTACAAAAACCTACTTCGTGCTTTTTATTGTTGATATTTTAGTATCTAAATAATATACATATATATTAAAATATGAACAGAATCTTCCTCTATCAATGATTTCATTCATCACTTTGAATATAATCTACTTATTTAAATAGTAATTGTAATAGTAAAACTTCAATTTCATTTGATTTTCTTTTGAAATAGGTACCAATTCACTAGATAGGAAAAACATCTAACAATGATCAAATAAGTCCAGAGATCGACGTTGAAGAAGCCAAGCAAGTATCGACACACAAGTACGTTAAAGCAAAAATATGTATTCTTTATTTTAACCATAATAAATATTTAGTAGACAATAATGATTTATATTCGCTTTTTCTAATAGAGGTGTAAACAAAAAACCACATACTCCCGACGTTTCGGTTACTTTGCAGCAACCGTGACCACGGGCAGACGAAATCTTAAAAAATATTAGTTTTATTCCAAACAGTATATAATTTTAACTACATAGTAGTTAACATAGAAAATAATATTTTTATAATGTAGATGTGTGTATTCTTTTTCGTTTGATATATTTCAATTTTATAATTAAAATTTCCAGTCAAGATAAAAATCTTTTGAACGAAGCCGAGATAACAATAGAACCGGTGGATCAAGTGAAGAGTCCAAAGAAACACGCTCGTCACTCATCCATGGACCTCGCTAGCAACGCGTCAATAACACACGTGTTGGAGAAATGTGTTTAACACAGAAGATAACCAGGAGAACACACAGAAGGACACAGCAGAGAACATAGAAGAGAAGAATGGTGAGATTTAATTTATAACCAAATAACTATTAAATTACCTACAGTCCTGATACAATCGGTATTATGAATAACTAGCTGCGCCCCCGCGGTGTTACCGCGATTTCCGGGACGTAAAGTAGCCTATGTGTTATTTCTGGACGTCAGCTTCCTGTATACAAAATTTTATCAAAATCGGTTCACCCGTTTGAGCGTGAAGAAGTAACAAACATACACACACACACTCACAAACTTTCGCAATTATAATGTTAGTAGGATATGGCAGTGTTAACTTCATACATACATATTTAATACCTATTCCTTTATTCACATTTTGTTGATTTCGTATGAAGCTAAAACAAAAATAGCTGTTTAGCCATTGTTCGTAAATATAATTATTATGTCTCAAAATCTTGGATCTCACAACATCTTTAATTGAAAGAGTATACTCTAATGGTTGGCTATCAAAAATTGTCTGGTAATTAAAATAACATAATTTTTCATATTGTTTATGATCAGAAAACTGTTGGCGGGATCAAATGCAACAGATGAAGGGCAAGGTGACGCTCAGAAGTTAGAAGAATATGTGAATCATAGAGGCATCAGGTTCACTCAACAGGAAGAATCCTCGAACTTGCAACCATATGGACTGGTCTGCGTCAAAGAATTGTTCAGGTATACTAGTAGTGGAAGAAATAATTATTAAATTGCATATTGAAATTTTAAAATAAATTCGGTTTAGGAATCTAGTAAAGTGGAAAATAATAATTAATTTACACTACAGAGAGATAATATTGGTTTTGTGGTATATAATTAAAATTGTTGTTATAGTAGCAATAGTTCTGTGATTGAAAAGAATTAGAAAACTGCTGACAACTGTGCCTAGTATAAACGTGCCTAGTATATACTATTTGATTTTATAATTCAGTTTTGTAATAGAAACTCAATTAAACGGACTCCTGTTATCATAGTCTTGTTATTTCGCTTACTGAATAAGTTGCGACAGTATTAGCACACAAACAGTTATAATCTAAGTCTTAGAAGTTACAATCAAGAATTGATTTAGAATCCAAGTCTTAGTTGATTAAATAAATGCGTTCACCAGATTCCTGATATCTCTCATCAATCCCTTGGAGCCTCAGAACACTTCAGCCATGGTGCAGTTGGGGTTGAGTCTAGTGGGCACGGCCTTAGAAGTAGCGGCCGACCATCTTGCCAGCTGCCCCGCTTTATTGGGACTCGTACGAGATCCACTCTGCAGGAACCTGATTAGTGTAAATATTCAGAAAATCTATATATATAAAAATTAATTGCTGTTCGTTAGTCTCACTAAAACTCGAGAACGGCTGAACGGATTAATCCTATCTTAGTCTTGAAATGTTCGTGGAGGTTCAGGGAAGCTTCAAAAGCCGAAAAAGAATTATTAATTTCCCGGAAAACCCTAAAAACAGAACTTTTCTATTTCCCAAACAAACGGTTTTTTTTGACATAGATTTGACAAATACTAACTAATATATCAATCATTCAAGTGAGCAAGAAATTTTCTCACCTTGATTAATTACGTTACAATGCTGAGGAGAAATCTATAAGGGGGAATAGAGTTCACTCAGTCAGATATACACTTCTTATTCTGAAATTAACGCAGACGAAGTTGCGGGGAAAAAACTGGTATTATAAAATAACTAACATAAATGTTAATATTATGTATTATTTTGTAGTGTCACTTATATTTAGTATGAATATTTATATTTATACTTAATGGTATTGTTATAATTCACAAGATATTTTCAGCAAATCCTAACTTAAAAATGATTTGCAGACAATTTTTTATATCTCTCTCTAAGTTTAATATTTTTTGTATAGTTTTATATTCAATAAGCTCTTTTTTATTTTACAGTTACTCGATACAGAGAGAATATCAATTTTTGCATTGGACCTACAACTATGGTTCCTTTTATTCGAAGCACTCCGCGGCCACCTCAAGTACCAAATGGAAGCATTTTTCAAGAAAATAATCGAAATAATTTCTGCTGACACAACAAAGTCTATATACGAATTGAAAGAAATACACCACATCGCCTTAGAGAGCCTGTGTCAAATGTTCCGAATACCGGGACTCTGCACGGAACTGTATCTGAATTTCGACTGTGACATTTACTGTACTAATATATTCGAAGAATTTGCGAAAATTGCTGTCCAAAAACGTGGTCTCTTCTACCGCGTATAATATTCACACTATGTCGTTGGAGGCGTTGATGACTATGATCGAGGCTATAGAAAGTCGGGGACCGCCCCCAAAGAGGATGTAGAAGTGGGAGAGGTAGATGTTCAGAGGGAGAAGGAAGATCGTGTTGGCCACGTCACGTTGGAGCTCGGCGGTATGGACGACGCGTCAGTCGTCAGCGATCACGTGACCCACGACATCAGCCAATACTTTGTTCCTAACGCGAGACAAATGACTCAAACGGAACTGCCTACGGACGAGGAATTGGATCACATTAAAGATATGAAGAAGGTTAGCTATCAAACAGGTTCTATTGATTAAATGAGATAATTAAATAATTCATATTTTTTTTTTGTCAGTGGGTAACTCAAGGTACTGAGCTGTTTAACCAAAAACCGGAGAGAGGAATAGAGTTCTTATTGGAGCATGGAGTGCTGTCAACGCCGTTGGATCCGAAGCAAGTCGCTATGTTCCTCAGGGAGAATCCAGATTTGGATAAGAAAATGATAGGTGAGCTGGGAATTACTCTTATTATAAACCAATATACCTATACTTGATTTACAGGATATAGATTTTTTCAGTTCTAACATGGTAGAAGAATCCTTTTTATACGAGTAGCTTCATATATCGTCCTATTATCATATCAAAATATATGTTTAAATTCTATTTAATATTTCTTACTCCATTCAGTCTAAGTCTAAGTTTGTTTCTATTTCAGGTGAATACATCTGTAAGCGTTCATCTCGCGAAGAAGACTCCGGTCCCAGCATCTTGTCGGCGTTCGCGGATAGTTTCGACTACAGCGGTCTGCGGATCGACCAGGCCTTGAGGCTTTACCTCGAGACCTTCCGACTACCGGGGGAAGCTCCATTGATATCTCTGGTTATGGAAAAGTTCGCTGAACGGTGGCATGTGAGTTATTATGTGATAAAAATCAATGTTCACGTGTGTGTGTGCCTACATGCATACATACATTGGTGCGTTTGAATGTGTGTGTGATTTATGTTTAATGACGCAAAAACTGTCTATGATCATATTTTGCGAGTAAGTTATAGTCATCGAATACTATATGGCCAAGTTTTCAGCATAAAGTTGAAACAATAAATATATTTACAAGACTACTTAATGCTTTCATTATCCCTAGTTTATAATATAATCGATATTTTCAGTTAAGTAACGGCGAACCGTTCGCTAATACCGACGCGGCGTTCCGGCTAGCGTACGCTGTTATTATGTTGAACGTGGACCAACACAACCACAACGCGAAGAAACTCAACGTGCCCATGACGGTTGAAGACTTCACCAGAAACCTTCGAGGATGTAACGGCTCTGATGACTTCGATCACGAGTTGCTGCAGACTATATTCCACGCTATCAAGTTAGTATATCTTAATATACCTAAGTAAAATAGTCAGTGAGGGCCCAGTGGTTAAAACGCCCGCCTCTCATGCACGAGGGCGCGGGTTCGATCCTGGCAATACCAATGTGATTTTGCCGAGTCATATATACTTTATAAGAGTATTTAGACATCACTGATTAATGTTGATTCCCAAAGAGGTTGATGTCAGGCAGGCGGCCGGTCGTAAAAACAAATAGCCAAAAACTATATTCATAACATGTAAGGCAGACCCTGGCTATAGCTGGGAAATTGCCAGGTAGAAGAAGAATAAACCTAAATAAAACTAAGATCTTCGGATACTATATGCTTTTTTATTATTTTAACTGCAGCCTCTCGACGGTTACTTTGCAGAAATCGTGATCACTGGGAGACGAAATGATTATGTTTATTCGTAGTAAAAAATTGATTTTTTTTAAATTCATAATTGTTAAATTTCACTAACAAATTATGTAAACCTATAATTAAGGTATTAAAATTGAAAATATTAATTCACGATGGAAATCTAACTTTACTATCAGACAAGCTTAATTGGGTTTTTTGAATTATTTTTTTTTTTGTGATAAATGGAAAGATCATATATAAGTTTAATAACAAAACTATTTTTATTTTATTTTTTTTTGCAATATTTAAAAAGTTATTTCAAAATAAAAATTAAATTTTAAATTCAGTACCGAAGACAAGCCGACAGCTCGTGAATAAACCCGAGCGCGTGTGACGTCACAATGTTAGTTTTTGCTCATTGTAGCATACAGAGATATAATAATTAGTACAGTGTTTTGAGTTTTTATCTAGTAAATTCTGTTGGCATTGTTAAATAATCAAAAGTTTTGTACCATTATGTACAAAGACTACAAAAACAACTCCTGAAAAAAATGTTTTTAAATGTTCCACAAGACGAAAAAACGTCGAAAGAAATGGTTTTCAAGCAGTGCATCGAGATTATTCAAAAACAAAATCATTTTTTTTTGTTGTGAAGATCATTTCGTTGTAAGTTTTCATAATAGTATTGTTATTAATTATTATTTATCTAAGTGTATAAATCGAATAAGTATAGTTCAATAATTAATTTTTTTACCTGGGCTCCAAATCATAACCTTTAGAATCGTAGCATTAAAAAATTTTAATTGATAATTCAAAGCGATTAAATAGTAAATCTATATATATGTTTGTCTAATAATTGGACTTCAATTAATAGATATTTTCATAATTTTATAACATTCTAGGTTCTGTATCAGACTACATTTAAATTTTTAAAGTATATGTTATTTTGGTTTTTTATAATGTTATAATAACATTTTATTAATAATGATTTAATGAAATAATTATTAATTATATTTAATAGAGAATAAATACTTATTTTCATTTAGAATAGTATTTTTTAACAGACTTACCTTGATGCCTTATCACCTCGAACTTCAGCAGAATTAAACCGAACGTCATTTTTTAAATTAGTTATCATAAATATATCAACATCAGGAATATTATCCGATTTGCTTTTATAAATCCTTTATCACACATAGTCGAAATAAACTTTTCAAATCGTTTTTTCACTAATAAATTTGAGATATTTTTATCAAGTTAAAGATAATAGCCATAAACACTGTACTATTATGAAATTGCTTTAACATTATGACGTCACAAGTATGCTGACCAATCATGGCGCGTTTACAGTCACGTGATATATTTTTGAATTTTATCAATTTTTAATTGTTTATAATTAATTTAAAAAATATATTTCAAGTTTTTTGCATTAAAAATCCAATATAATTAATAATAAAGTTTTAAAATACATAAAAAAAATCAATACTTTTTTTTTTTTTTTCAAAAACCCAATTTTGGTAATTCAAAACTTATCAAGGATTATTCATAGTTTTGTAAGTAGTCTAGAAATCTCATAGCCGGAATTATGAATATACCTAACATTTCCTATCAATTACTTTCTATCTCATGAAATATGCTTAATATTTCCTATTATTGATAAATATGGTTCAATATTAATTCTATTATCTTCAAATTTTCCAGGAACGAGGAGATGATAATGCCCGCAGAGCGCGTAGGTCCTCTGCGCGACGCGTACTTGTGGCGCGTGTTACAGAGACGCGCGGGCCGCACGTTAGTGTCCGCTCCGCCCGCACCCCATAGGCTGCACGCGAGACTACTACCGCTGGCAGCGCCGCCTGCGGTCAGAATATGAAACTATTTCTTAGAAAAACTACATTATAACGACATTCTGACGATATGATTGTCGTATTATAGAATATATCTAGTACATACGTAATACAGTATACACATAGTTAAATGTGATTAAATTTATTTTAATTTTTTCTTGAAAAACACTATATACGCAGTCCTACAAATTTGTTTTTGCATTTAAATGAGATTTATATTTTTCGGAGTACTACGCGCATTTTATGATTTTTAAAAACATTTTCAGCAAATGTGCTCACGGGCAGACGTGTAGTTTTTACAAATAATGAAATATGCATAATAATCCGAAAACATTAGTTTAATTTAAATAAACACACTTTAGTCTTACATCTCTTTATTAACATTGTTTATACCGACTTGTATGCTGTTCAGGTGACAGCGTTGTCAGCAGCGTTCGAGCGCGCCGCCCCGCCGTCAGCGGAGGACGTGGAGGTCAACAACCTCCGCGACTGTGCCGCCCTCATAGCGTTGTCCGGCCTCGAGCGGTGCGCGGCGCTCGTGGCGAGGCTGTCTCCACCCACACTCACACTGGACACGGTGTTGTTGACGCTCTGCAAGTTCACTGGACTTTTGACACCGCAACACTCCTCTTATATAGCCATCGGTGAGATATAGGTCGTTTGTTCACAACAGTATGGAACAATGAGTGTTTGGCTGACCTTATTCCTCGAATTTAACGAGTAGGTCCCATCGGACCACCCATCTCTCCGAGTGACGCCGTCAAAGCCATTAGAACTAACAGCGACAGTCAAGTCGAAACAATAACAATAATTGTACAAAAAAGTCAGACTTTTATTATAAAAGCACTATGTTGTCCTTTGTATATAACACTACGGTACAAGGAACGTATGCCTGAGTTTTATTATAATAGCACATTGGAAGTATTTAAATGCAATATGTACAAGGTATCTGAGCTAATAATAGATATTTGTGGAACTTAGTATAGATTCAAAGTTACTCATAATTAAGTATCAATTGATTCATTTATAGTTAAAATAGGTTTAAAATAATTTTAATTTTTAAGGAATTATAACCATATAATTAAATTCGATCCATATAATTGTATTCCAGGCGTGTCTCTGGGCCAGTCGTCTAAGGCCATGTGTAGTATTCGTCGAGCGTGTGTGGTGGCGGCGAGACACGCGGACTGCTGTCGAGACAGTTGGAGACACTTGCTGGAGATAGTGAACACACTGTATATAGCGAGGTTGTTACCTAAAGTGAGTTCACGTATGGTTTAATAATAAATAAGAATGCTTTATCTTTTATAAGATATCTTTGTTTGTATGAAATTTTAAGTTTTTGTCTATTAAGTATTAGCTATAGTTAACATGGAAACGAAAATACTGTTATACATGTCAATATGTCTTTTCATTAGTTCAGATCAAAGAATTCAAGTTGAAATCGCGCTTTTATCTTCAGGCATAAAGTTGTAGATATCTAAGCACGATAATACGATATATTTCCAAAAGCATAATTTTATTTGAAAATATAAAACATCATGAACTACCTCTATACATTAATTTCTCAGTATTTAATAATATTCCCTACATCACATTTCAGTGTTTGGTCGAAGCCGAAGACTACCTGTCTCCTAACGGGACGGTTTTCTTTGATACGAGATACTTTCACGCGGCACTGAGAGCGGTCTACTATCCAGTCTTTATTCCTACATCGCACTTGGAGAAACCGGTATAAACTAGTATAATTATCGAGCATGTTGGTTTGAATGAATCGATGTGTGCATGTTTGTTACGCTTTAACTCAAAAACTACTCAACGGTTTTGATTGAAATTTTAAATTATATAATCTATACATCACATAAGAATACACACTATAATTTATTAGAAAGTTTGAGTGGTTACGGTGGAAAGACAGCGATACAAGTTTTGTTTGATGTTGCGTGATAGTATTGATAGATGGCGTTGTTCGTTGGTCATCATATACTTTTAATCGATTCTGTGTGAAAAATATTATAAATTCACCACAGTCGAAATCATAATGTATAGCCTGCAAAACTTAATTATGTATATAAAACACATTTTTATTACAAATTCAGTCTTATAATGATTGTATTCTATACAGGGTGACTGGTGAATTACTATCGATACTTGAGGACGTGATATTTGACGATCATATATGACAAAATAAAAATTAATATAACATAAATATTAATAAACTTCTAAGTAAAGTTAACCAAAAGTTATGTAATTAATTGCGCATCGTGTGAACACCCTACAGATTAGGTATACACACACACTCACACATACGCGTGCGGCGGCGTGGTGTTGTATCAGCACGCCGCCGCACGCGTCCACACTTGGGACACTTGGAACGTGTCAACACTTTATTTATACGGAAAATTTGTCAAAAATTAAGTGTCTATTTTTTTTACATAATTTGAATGAGAATCATGTACCGAGTATTCTCCTTAAATATTGATAGTAATTCACCAGTCACCCTGTATATTTCATATATAATTAGCATTCAATAATAAACCTTACTGTATAATACATAAGACATACTTTCCGCCAGGAGTCCGAGCCCCCACTCCTCATGAGAAGAGTCTGATGGACGCGGCTGCAGAGTGCGTGTCCAAGTGTAACTTCCCTGGCATACTCATTACAGAGACGAGGTTCCTGCAAATGGAGAGCTTGCAGGTCTGTAGAGAATTAAAAAAACTGGATTTATATGTATATATATACAGTAGAAACTCTATTAACCGGACTAATTGTTGTCGATAGGCATTCGGATAATCGAAAATCTGGATAATCGAATGTACGAAGTAAAGACGGTTTTGTGCTTATGCAGTTCATAATATTATATGTTTACTTAAAAAATAAATTACAATATGAATTCTGTAATTTGAAATTGGTAATCATGAATTATAATAATAAGTATATTTTTGTTAAGAATATTTGGTAATTGTCATTTGACATACGCCACTCTCAGCAACACCACTCAGTTCTTCTTGTCCGGACTTGTCCGTAGTCCGGATAATCGCGAATCCGTATAACTGAGGGCTGGGTAATCGAGTTTCTACTATTATATAGTTATTAAATTTATCAGACACATATTTAAATTTTATTATTGATAAAAAATATATAAATATGTGACGACACTTTACCCTTCATATCCTATTTGGTGCTAACAAATAGTTTTCACTTTAGATACTATCTGAATTAAAATTTCATTTTATTTTACGATAGAACAATAACTAAATTATGATCAATAGTGATCAACCAAATCAAAATAAAAAAGTCAATTATAAGTTAACCAACAATTCTTTTTTTTAAAAACAACTATGTTTAGTTGTTTAACAATGATAAGTCAATTGGTTAAGGTTTCTTTACTGTTATATTACTAAGTTATAAAATTAATAATAATTATTATTTTAGGAGTTGATATCTGCCATGATAGCTATCGGCGCTCCTCCCGACTCGGACAGTCTCCAACTAAACCCTCAGTTGGAAGACATCACTATATTCTTCCTGGAGTTACTGGGTCAGACACTCATACAGAATAGGTGAGCATTATATATTTACTTCATACTTACTATATTTCACTTATATTTAATATGACAAAAAACTTTCAATGAGCTAACTCCCAATGAGTCTCATTAAAACGGTTCCAGCTTTCGAGTTCCTATAATAACGAAAATTTAAACAGATTATTATTATTGTGCTAATATCGATACGAATTTAGTTAGAGATTATTTTAAATACAAAAGACGCTTCATTTATTCGTATACTTATATCTTTAGTCAAAATTCGTCCATTAATAACTTTTATGTATGAATAACTTCATCTATATAAACGTGTGTTTCGATATTTCCTTAACATTTAGATACATTTTTGTTGTATATATCTTAACTAGTAATGAAAAATGTAATATTCTTAACGAAAAGTAAGGCTTTGATATTCGGTCCGTTTTAATATATTTTTTATTAAAATATATATTTTATATATAGGCTAACCTGAATATACCGGCAACTTTATGTCAACAAATACAAACATTTCTACGCCGAAAATAGAATTAATGTCCGTTAACACGACAGCCGATAGATGGCGCTACTGGTTTTTTACTCGATATTCTTAAGCACTGAATGGTCTCACTGAAAACAATGTCAAAGTAATTTGTTCATAATAATCTTTAATTACTTGAAATTTTGAATAAACATGTGTTAAGAATAGTGTTAATTTGTTATTGGATTACGTAGAACGAATCGTTTTATATATAAAAACAGAGTTATAAATACGGCTCTACAATTTTACCGTTCCCACCACCGGCCCTGTGGCGCAACGGATAACGCGTCTGACTACGGATCAGAAGATTCCAGGTTCGAATCCTGGCAGGGTCGAATAAATTATTTTTCGTTTTTTTTATTAATTTTTTCCATTAATAGTATTTAATATATTTATTATGTATTGAATAATAAAAAATAAATTAAATAAAAATAGAATTCAATTCAATAAAATCGTACACATGTTAGTCATCAAGAATAGTTCTAATAATTTTATCTTAATAAAATTGTTACCGATGTTCCGAGTAAGGTTTCGTAACGTTTGTTAATAAGAACAAATATAATGAAAAAAATCGGTTTGACATTATTATGTGTGTGCGAGTTGACATAATACTGATAGTTCTAAGGAATTTCGTATAAGTCACCGATTTTAGGAAAGTTTTTTTTTTTTTTTTTTTTTTTTATGTTATAGGTGGCAAACGAACAGACGGCCACTTGATGGAAGGTGGTGACCGCCGTCCATGGGCATCCGCAACAAATATGTTGCGGATGCGTTGCCAACCTTTTCTTTTTAGGGATAGGGAAGGGTGGGAATAAGGAAATACAAGGAAAGGTTGGGAAAAGGGAAAGGGCAACCGGCTCTCTCACTCATCGGACGAAACGCAGTCATTACTGACTACTTCACGCCGATCTTCTGTGAGAGGGTGGTACTTCCCCGGTCGAGCCAGCCCATGTTCGAGCTGTAGTAACTTAACCACAGCTAGGCTCTACCACGTATCGTTATCGAAAAACATACATACATAAGTCACAGCATACGTAACAATTATTGAAAAGTTATATTAGTACTTGTGCGTTTACGTTTACACACACACACATATATATTATAAAGATTCCGCCAAGTCATCTTTTGAATGAATTTAAGAAATCATACATATAAGCTTTTACGATAATACCACAAAATCAATCACAGATAAAAATGACAAAATTTAAATATATACAGTTTTATAATTATAATCTTATCTTATGTTATTATATTTCTAAAGTTTTTTTTTCGAGGCAATAAAAAACAAAACCAAAGAAAATTATTCGGTTTCTGTTAAATAAAGTACCGTGTTATTTACTTTTATAATTTCTAAGGTGTTTTCGAGAAATAAAAATCTATAAAGATTAAATTAAACAACGAATTATTATAATTTTTTTTCACAACTGCTCCAATTTAATATCTGTGGTTTAAATCTAATAAACATACAACAATATACTGTTTGCCTTTTGCTAAAGGTTTCGACTTATTCTATTACTTTTTTTGTGTGTATTTATGGTTGAAATTTTAAAAAATACTGAATATTATCACGGTTTAAAATTGCCACAATCAGTACTTTATGTATGATATGTAATTTTTATTTATCTTAATATCATAACAGATATAAATACTTAATCTTAGTTTAATGTTTAATCTTATTTTGTATAGTTATACACTACGAGTTTTCCTCGTTTTTCATTCAATCTTCTTCTTCAACGTCGCAAACCTTTGCAGACTCTGTCATGTATCAGTGACCCGCTTCACAAAAGATTTCATTCAATAAGCTACGTTAATACTATAACATGCGAAGACTTGTGAATGAATAACTATTAATTTCGTAACAGCAAACATACCATTAGCAAATTGATTGTAAAATTAGCAACCGAAAATCGATAATGTTAGTTTTATTTCAACCAATACTGACCTAAGACTTTGATCTCATTATTTTCTTTTAATTTAAATACACGTGTCCAAAGAGCACTTTGAATAACAAAGGTTTTGAGGCTTAAACAAACAATGTGTATACGAATTGGTGAAATCGTTTTTCAAGATATATTCTAATATGTGTGAAATACACAATATTACATATATTGTATATTTTATATATCCATTTGAGGCTTATCGTCATTGTATCATGACAGTTGTAATTATTAATATTACGTATTTATGAAACGTATTAATATATCTAAGATAACTAAAATACACACATCCGTTGAAGATATAATTATATTAAAATATTTACAAATATAACTTAGAATTGTTTTAAATATGTTAACGTATATTTAAATAATAATACAGTATTCAAATTTCAAAAAACCAACCATTACTAGGATCAATGAGTTTATTGTGAGATATTAGGGAATAATTTCTTTTATTAATGATGCTATGTTTGAAATTATTCATGTGTTTTTATTGGAAGACCAACAAAAATCCGTACTTCTTGAAAAATCACGTTCATTTACTCTCAACGCATCAGGAATGATTGGTTCGATTGCTGCTGAAATATACTCGTAATTCATTTTGGACCAACAATTTAGATAGGCTGTCATGTTCTATATCTCTAAAAAAGGGCATAACATTTATGAGAAAAGTTGTAACAACAGAAGACTGTTAGATTGCTTCAGATGTTGCGGTTATATTAACATATATGTATGTAATTTCAGAAATAACTTTTGATTTCTATATGAATAAATTTTCGTGAATTTCGTCAAACAAATGTTGAGAGACGTAAGAAAACTGAAACTACATATATATGTATATGTTTCTAAAATGTTATTCTGTAAACCATACCAGGGACCGTGTGATTCATGTCTGGCCATCCGTCCTCCCAACACATGGAGCGTGTGGTCCGCTGGGCAGGTCGATCCCAGCACACTCTGACCCGAGCCTTAACCGCTCAGCTCCGTATAGCCGCGCGTTTTAATGCGCTGCGATCAATGCGCGCCGCTGCTCTTACAACATCTTACTTTGCTATATCGTCTGCCATACCGACTCTTCTACCAACAAGCTGATGTGGTGAGTTCCAAAATACTATATGATTTCAGTAAAAATATGCTATTTATTCCTCTGTAACCCATTTCATTATTGTTTTTATGTCACCAGATATCCTGCGGTCTTTACGAGCTAGTTAAAACCTCAGCCCAGAATATCCACAATGGAAGCGAGTGGAGTATTTTGTTGTCGCTGTTGGCGGCTGCGGGGTGCTGGCGCCTGGCCTCGAGTACACGTTAACACAGGTGAGTTTGTTTACTTAACAGGTTCTCATTTTAGCACGGTCATACATTGAAAATATTACGTGAATGTTTCGGGGTAAAATTCCTAGAATGATACGAAAATTGTCTTTCAAGTTGTCACAGATGAGAATTTCTTTAATGAGACTTATGTATTAAAAAAATACCCAATTAAAAGAAATATCTTAAAAAAAATTAACATAAAGGTTACCGGAAAGTAATGTCGTTTTTGCTCATTTCGATAGTTTCTTTTTATTTGCCAATCAATTAAGTGATTCAACTGTGCGTCAAATATACTTTAAGGTTCAAGAAGATTTTTTCTCGTACAACATTTGTAAGGTTTGTTTAAGTAAAATAGACTTCGGTTTCGAATCAAAGATAGTTCTTAAAGTTCAGTAGGAGGTAGTTTTGATCTCACCGAGTCTTATCGATAAGGAAAACTACTAATATTAGACAATGACACATTAGTACTAAAAGTCTAAACAAAATTCTTGTCAGACAATCGAGAGATCCTCAAACACGGTGTTTAAATGGTCGGTAAGGTTAGCTAACCTCGGAGAACCACTAAACGCGATCACATCAGATTACGTAGAGTCTGTGTATGAGTCCCCAAAGTCTTTCCAAAAAAGCAAATTTTTTCGTATGTCGGCCATTTCATCAACAGTACGATAGACCATTTTTTTGATAATTTTATTACTAGAGATAAAGAATGAGCCATATATCATAATTTAAAAACAAAAGACAATGGCTCACATGGTACACCTGTGTCGTTGTTCATTTTAATTACAGCAAATAGGACAATTATTATCCCGGATTTTTAGTTGGATCAAACAGATTCTGTGATCCATTCTTTAAGTAATAATTATACGGCGATTGCCAAAAACGGACCGATTGAGGTACAGTTTTTGAAATATCAGAGTGACCTTGAAAAAATTCTAAAGAATGAATGAATTATCCAGATTTCTATACAATACGTGCTTTTCACAACCTCCAAGTGCAATTTATTTCGATCATGCTCATCATTGTCATCACCATCTTATCATCTGCAAAGTTTTCCTAGTTGCAAAACACATAAAATTTAGGGTTTGTCCAAAATGTTTCCTGGCGTATTTTACTCTAAAACTAATTGATAGGGAACGTAAAATATTGCCTTATTAATTAAAAATAAATTTGCCATCAATTTATAACCAAAAAACCCTTAAGAGGAAGTCATTATTGCGTCAAGTCTTCAATGCGCTTACGATGTCTCGAGGTCCTGCAGTGTGGTCCGGATATGGGATTTTATATTTTTAAGAAGAGGATCCCAGGTGTTTGATAGGTTCCAGCCATCTTCTGTATTGAAATTGGGGTGTTTCTTAATTTCAATAGTCTCGCGGATTAACCTCTGTATATATGTATCTGTCTTCACTGTATATATCTGTCTTCACGAGCGAGGATATGTGGTTTATCAAATCTAATGTAGGCCTGGTTTGTTTCAATGCATGTTCACACACTTCTGACTTCGACGCGCGCCTATTCCTGACGTCTTTTTTTTTTTTTGTTATCGCGGTGAAAGGTTTTATACCTACCCCTCCGTCTAGGGGAGACAGAGGCGGTTATGTGGGATTCACGGCCAGAAGGGCCCATGTTACCCACTAAAACACCAGCGGTCACTCTCCGTTGCCGCCAAGTGGATCGCCACGGGAAACGCCGAAGCATGCATCCGCGACGATCCGGCGGCGGGCCGCGAACGGCCACCTCCCCCCCCGAGGGCTCACTCCAAGTGACCAGGAGTGTCCCCCCGCCTGGCGGGCTTGCTTAATCGCGAGAGGGTTAACCCCTTACCCCTCCCACCCAAGCCCACGCGCGGCCAGTCTCCAACCACCCACCGACGAGCGCAAGCGCCCGACGGCAGACAGAGAGGAAACCGACCGACCACAAGCGAACTTAGGCCTCCGGAGAGACCCGAGTATCCCCTCCCCCCCAAGACAGCCACGGACGGCCTCCTGCCAGATCCGCGACCGTCTTACTCCCAGGGCTGTACCCCTAGCCCTCCCCCCCGTGACTGATTGCACCGGAATACACCAGTGGGCGATGGGGTCGTCACGTCCCGACGCCGGAGCCTATTCCTGACGTCTGAAATGTGTTCCTTAACCTTTGTACCGATGCTTCTCTTTGTCTGTCACCACTCAGACAATTTCTCATGATATATAAATTAAATTCGTTGGTTTGTGTCTACATTATTTTAACGTTGTTTTATTTTTCTCGCATTTTAAAAAATCTATTACGACTACTACATATAAAACTAAATGGAAAAAAATCAAGTTTTTTTTAAATTTACTTGTAAATATAATTCTAGTTGGACTATTAATATTTTTTTTATAAGTTTTGATATCAATAAGAGTGAAATCGTTATCAATAATGATTACGTATTTCTCATCTAATTGATATCACCTAATCTTTTCTTAACGTATGTCTTTATCTCTTAATATATTTATCTTATTAAAATATTATAAATAGAACAACAAAACATACGTATTTTTTTTAATTGTAATTATCAATGTTTAAGTATTATTGTATTATACCATAAGTGTAATTAATAAAACACTCTAAATTTATCACGAATGGATTGAAAAAGAGATCTCTATGAAAATGTTAGAGACCTGTGGTTGAAGTCAATCGTGTGAAAAAAAATAATTGTTATCGTTTTAGTTCCAAGGTTAACAAAATGTCGTAAGATGTGAGCCTTCACGGTTAACCTTGTCTAATATATTTTTCTGTAATCATTAAACATTACGAAATAATATTGATTAATAGATGTCATTAATTATGATACAGTTTCGATACCGAATTCGATGTACGAGTATGCTCCGTTAGACTTAAGCTGAGCTTTGTATTTGTGTGAGTGAAGGTAAAAGTACGGTTAGACAAATAACTGTAAGAATTGAATTTTTTTATATTTTAAATAGATAAATAATGTAAATACGAAAGTTATTCTAGAATAAAAATAAAATAAGCAACTTATAGAAGGACACATGGAACTATTATGAATATTATGGATTTTTTTTGTATTTATTAATAAAAAAATTGAAAAAAAACTATACAAATTCTTCTTCACTTGACATTTCGTTTTCAACCTTTGAATCTGCTACCAGTACAAAGGGTGAAGTGAGGAAAGTGCGGGGCGGAGTAAAAGCAGAATAAACCAGTTCAAAACTAGAAAAGAACGTTTCATTCAAAAAAATTACACCACATCTACACTATCCGTGTGCACTCACATAAATGCAAACCTCAGTTTAAATCAAACGCACTATACCTACACGTAAATTAAGAGATAGAGGAGTGACTTTGCTTAATTTGTATTTACAATTAAAAAAATAATTTTCTATTTTAGTCGAGGGAAAAACGCGTGTGAATAATTACTAAAATCAAAAAAAAATATATATCAACTCGTAATAGACTGTTTCGTATGTAAAACAGCCAATCTTTAAATACTCCATTTGACAATTATATGGGGGATATCGCAAGTCTGAGCTTTTTGAAAGAAATTTAGATACAATATATCCTCATTTACATATTTACATTTGATAATTTTGAAATATAAAATAAATACAGATTATTTATTAAAACCCTTGTAGATTATTATAATTAAACATAAATTATAATTAATTTAACATTAAGATATACACGCTTGGCTCTATTGTAATCTTCAGATTTTTAGTTCATATCAATTATAACATTCTGTCAAAATCTACATATGTATATACATAAAAATGAATCCCTTTTTCCCCTTGGTGACGGCATTACGCATGAATGGCTGGACCGATTTCACTATTTTTTTTGTTGTATTTGTTATTATTACGATAAGGTTCTTATGTAAGAAAAAAATACAATTACTGAAAAAAAAAAACTACTAAAATATTTTACTTTTATGTGTTTAAAATAATGTGGCAGTAATATTCACATAATTACCATTAATACGAGGAAAAAATTAAAACAAATTTTCCATGCTCTTTGCAAATCTATCGGTCAGAGTTGGTCTGTGGCCGGAGTTGATGTATGTCGGGTCAGCTATATACTTAATAAAGAAATTAACTTCATTCAGATAAAAAGGTAACAGGTATTTCTTAATTATAGAGTTCGCCGTGTCAGCTAGTAAAAAATAAAAATTGAAAAGCACTAGAGTAATTTGAGGTGACATTTTTTTCAACTTCGAGATTCGTTTACTTCTTAACGTCACGATCAATTTGTCAGATCCAATAAAAAATGTAACCAAATGTAAATGTAAGCAACATATTTGAAGTATACATATAGTAATTTGTTAAATAATATGATTTTTACTTAATTTTTAAATGTAAAAACATAAAAAAGTTAATAAAATATATAAGAAACGATTTCTTGAAGAAAATGAATTATTATTATTATTACTCATTTCAAAAGATTTAAGTATATTGAGTTTCATAAAATAAATATTAATATCTTCAATTTAGCAATAAATAAATATTTTCTGTTTTTTGGCACTCTCTTTAAAACTGTGAAATCCATAATACTTAAAAATGTTATATCCATAGAGGAGCAGCGATAAATTTTTAGAAGATTGATTTATAAGTTAACGGATAGGAACTTAGGAACCGATATTTAGTAAATGAAATAATAAACAAGTCAATTTATTGTTATAACGTTTTTAATAGCATAGGTCATTACATGTTGCTGCGAATCCAAGAGTTGAAAGATGTAACTCTGGCAAATCCGGCAGGGTGTCCACGAGTGCATCCTTGACGATGAGTGAAAGATGTGACTCC